GCCCACTGAGAAGATCCGGCGAGAAACAGTGAGCTGTGTCTATGAGTTAATTTACTCGCCGAGCGCTTCGTCGCAAGCGACGGGTTTGACGAGGAAGGTGACCGGTGCTTGAGGTACCTAAAAGCACTGTTAATGGATCGGGAGGACCCGAAATGACGAGTTTTGGGCGACGTCGACTTTTAGGGTCGATGAGTGAACGAGCTCGTAGTCCACTCAGCTTTAGGTGGTCACTGAAGCCCATAGATGTCACTACGCGATTGTGACCTTAAAGCGTGATGTTGAAGTCTTGATTATTATAGTAATTGATATGACTAATGCTTCTAGCTGAAAAGCGTGACTACTATACGGCAGAAATCGGCAGGACGGTGGCATTTAGCCTCGGCGAGTAAATTAAATCATAGACACAGCCCATTGAGTTTCTCGCCGGATCGTCTCAGTGGGTCGCGTTTCCGATCCTGTGGTAGATTCTGCAAAGTACGGCTCTTGCTAGGGTTCGCCTTAGGAACATCGTTAGGTTTGAGCCCCGTGAGCTCACCTACTAGTTAAGGTTACGCTGATATGGTCTCTCTAGACCCATCAGCTTAGGTAGGAAAAAAAATACCCTAAAAACAGTGATTTTGCCAGACGTTGTACCTATGTGTGTTATCAACGTAATTTAACGTCCAGTATTTTAATTCTATTTTGAGGACTTTATAGATTAATATTTTAACACCTGACACAGTACGTATTGTTCGATCGTTCATTGGTTCCCGTCTCACCCACATTTTATGTTCCACTTTGTTTGTAATGATATTGATCGTCGCGTTTTATGACCGCGGAATAGCAGCGTTTCCGCTAAAACTTTTTTTTTAACCCAGAATACAATTCAGTCTATTATCAATCTTAGAAACATTTAGAATGCGATTCTTAAAGACATGTATGTACCTTCCTACGAGTCCAAAGCCTATTCGTTTTTTTAATGTAAAAAATATGCAAACATAAAGTTAGGTTGTAGACGTGTTCCAATAATACAAGCCGAAAGCAAAATAGCTTAGACGATAAATATTAGTATCTTTTGTTTCTTAAAGCAATACTGCTATATTCTTGGGGTTATTGAATCTTTAGTATACTCATAGTTTTATCTGTTTCTTCAAGGGTTTCTTAAATAAATAATTATATACAAAATATAGTAGAACATAGCGTGATGTTTCTTCATCTTGAATGCCTAAATAAACCAACTTCATATATACCTACTCCATAGATAATCCGCCCATGTACGATATACTCTATTCGAAAATATATACTTTGTTCGATTCCTATTTAATTTTTTTTTATCTTTGGAACGAATAATAATAATTTGTTTTTAGAGTCTTTATTTTGGTAGAATATTACCTATAGTATCATATTTTAGTATCGTATATTTTAGGGAATGCACTGTCTAATCTGTAAGATAAAGATAGATTGTGTACATTATATTATTGAGTCACTGTGTGTTACCGAAACCACCGAAAGCAAGTTAAATATTATATGGATGTACATACTTGTGTACTGCGTGTATGTTTGATGTGGTACTTGCAATTTTGTTTTACAGTGTTTCATTTGGTATCGACACAATTTATAAGAAGTCTGACTTTATAATTTTCTTTTAATAATAAGTACCTACTTAAACTGAACTCACCATTAACTTTTAAATGAAAAAGAAACTTATTTAAACCAAAACTATAAACTTAAACTGTGACAGTTTTTCCATTTCTCTTTGTGTTTTCACAGAGATCTTTTGTAACCTTTTCTAGAATCCCTATTGCTGCTAATTTTATTTTTAATTCTCGAGGCTACATTTTGAATGATTTTTGAGTGCTTAAATTTCCTCTTATTTAGTTAATAAGATTATACGCATAAATACGTTTAAGAAGAATGATAAAATAAAAATATTTATAAGTTAATATTTTAACAAACTCTAACAATCTTAGCACCAAATATAACGGAGTTGGTCTGATAAACATTAAACCAGATTTTCTTCTTTGCATATATCATAAAAGATTCAGTGCTGAATTTCGTTCGGAGCTCATCTGGCATATGACAAAGCAAATGATCGCAGCTAACGGGGTAGTTTCCCTATTTGACTCATACGTTTGGCAGCGAAAACGTTGGATCTGAACCAAGAATGACACACATTTATCTGAAACATTTGAAAGAATCGATTTCATTTCTTTGTTGGCAACTGACGACACTAATCTTAACGTTGTAAATTCAAAACAGTACGTTATATTTTGTTCGTATTATGGTTTTTATTGAGTTACCCGACATAGCATTACTATTGAAAGGCATAAACCGTTTCTGTACACAGAAGTCTACAAAGGTTTTATAAAATTAATAGTATAGTTAAATCACTTTATGATACGTTAGAAAATTCAAGCGATAAGGGAATTATTTCGTCATTTTGTACGAAAACAATACAGCCTGTGTACCTATGGGAATAATTTGACTGTGTTTAGTGAACGGTAAGCAGATGTTAGCGAGGCATTCATGCTCGAAATCGATATTTAATGAGGGTATTGATTTATCTAATTTGCTTAAATATCCATAATTAGATTTTATTGCAAGTTTGTTATGATTTCTGATGCTTAGTGATTCTCAACTTTGTTATGCCGTCGCAGACTTTTAACGATTTTTAAATTTGACGACGCACAATGTAAATGATTCTTTTAAAAGCTGTTTTTAATTATACACTGACAAAAATAGTGTATGATAATAAATTGTTTTGAATGTAAAATTTGGCGGCACAAATGTGCCGTGTATACTATATATATCTAAACGGTGGTCGAAAACCACTGCTTTAACTATAACTATTATTATATTTAATAATATTATTACTATATTTTGAGCACGGCCCAAATGAAACTATCTATATATTTTGTATTAATGCTAGAATATGAATGTTGTGTTAGGTATTTGTTAGACAATTACGGAGAAATGCCTGAATGGTTTGGAATTATCTTTCACGAAAAGATAGTTTATAACCCTGATAGCGTACTATTCAACGTAGCACAACAATGGGTATATGAGCCATAACATAAATATGACAGTGTGTTCTGGATTTTACATGCCAGAGTTTTACGAAATATAATTTAGGGAAAGTCACAGAGGCAATTTGTAAGCTCGGGGTTAAAATTCAAAGTGTTTCGTTGTTTCTGAATTACAAATTTAAACAGCGGTAAAACCTTATTATTAAGCATTTTATAAGGACAGACCACGTATCCTCCCGTTATCTATCTATATTAGCAATTCTCAACTTTATTTTAATTTACCATAAATAGAAGCTCAGCTGGTGTTATTTTGGTTACCAAAACCCATACTCAATAAAAACATACAGAAAATTTGACCACATCTAATCACAACCATTAACTTGCTGCGTAACTAAGAAGTCAAACGCAAGGAGGTATACGTTTTACGACAAAACCATTGCTAAAAATAAATGCTTCTGTCGCGCACTCGATTAGCGGAAATGACATAGCATGTCGCCTTACTCGCGCAATGTCAGTGATATTACACTGAAAGTGAGGTCAAGGTTGTAGAAATCGGAACGGAAGCTGCTCACTGCGATTTATTTGAACTGACATTTGAAGTTAATTAATTGTATTCCAAAAGTACTTANGTTTTACGACAAAACCATTGCTAAAAATAAATGCTTCTGTCGCGCACTCGATTAGCGGAAATGACATAGCATGTCGCCTTACTCGCGCAATGTCAGTGATATTACACTGAAAGTGAGGTCAAGGTTGTAGAAATCGGAACGGAAGCTGCTCACTGCGATTTATTTGAACTGACATTTGAAGTTAATTAATTGTATTCCAAAAGTACTTATAGCATACGAATACATGTCACATCTGATGAAAACATTGAATATTAAATTGACGGTTCTTTCATGTCACTTTTATAAGTTATTCAGATAAGATTGTTTCTCTAGTGGAACTGCAACAAAAGTTAATCTCAATTTTAAAACACGATACGTCGAATTAAGAACTCAACAAAACAAGGACGAGATTAAGCCGCAAATTTTTCTTTAATTATACTTCTATATTGTAAATAGTTGAGTTTATCACACACTGAATTTATACACACATGCGGTCAATCGTTTTTACGCTTTTCTTTCCCTCTGTAGTGTATTATTCCTGAAATTGGCTAATCCTCCTCCGAACGTCGGTGTCCTCAAAAATGAGGGACCTTCATATGCATAATCATAATCTTTATACGGACCATATGTGTCCGAGGTACACGAAAACCCTGTTCGGGAAAGTTTTGGACAGTGTCTTGATGTTAAGCTTCTTAAGCATGAGATTATTGCGCTATTTATACAATATACTGAAAAGATTCTACCAGCACCAAGTAGTTCAAGGGATCTGTTTGCATCGGATTCGCTTCCCACGGGGTCCACTTTTCCGATTTGCACATAAACTGGATTTTGTATTTTGCTTTTAACTTTATTTTAACAGACCTATGCATGGAATACGCGGCTTTCTTTCATACATCGGCTCGACAAGTGAAGTGTTTTCATTGTAAACAATCATTTTATTGTGAATACAAGAACAATAGTTAAGGATAGGTACATGCTACCGCTGAATGTGTGGGAAAGCCGATTTCGGATTGAGCAATGTCAGCAGTTTTATGGAAGGAGTCCCTACTAACCCTAACCTAAACATGAACGGTACTGCAGGAAATTCGCGCTAAGTCAGCTCAGGGATTGATGTTAAGTTGAATATCAAGAGATATTAGTTTGCTGAAGTTGTGGGACGTATTTGGATTTCAGAAAGTGAAGACGGCCATATGACCTGCTTGGAAGGGATGCGGCGGAGGCGCTGGTCGCCATGAGCTAGCAGTATGGGAGGCGAGGGGGCGGGCCGCGGCGCCGCGCGCTGTCACGTGGGCGACTCGCCCCCGCGCGCGCCCGCCATGGGGTTCGCGGCGCCTGCGCAGGACGCGCTGCTCGACNAAGTTGTGGGACGTATTTGGATTTCAGAAAGTGAAGACGGCCATATGACCTGCTTGGAAGGGATGCGGCGGAGGCGCTGGTCGCCATGAGCTAGCAGTATGGGAGGCGAGGGGGCGGGCCGCGGCGCCGCGCGCTGTCACGTGGGCGACTCGCCCCCGCGCGCGCCCGCCATGGGGTTCGCGGCGCCTGCGCAGGACGCGCTGCTCGACCGTGGGCTCGCACCTGCACCCGCGCCTGCACCCACACTCGCCGCGCTGCACCGGGCGCATTCCAGGTATTGTTTTAGGACAGATTAATAGTTCTTTATGACCAACTGATTTTAAAACACTGCCGGAGCCCGTAATTGACTGATGCCTGGAGCTGCTATTCAAGTATTTAAAGCAGAGAAAGCATGAATGTTTCGCCCCAGAAATAGTCAGAAATGTCGGTATCACTAGTTTACTACACTAATTACTCGAGGATACTACTACGGACGGATATTTTTTTTTATTGCTTAGATTGGTAGACGAACTCATAGCCCACCTGGTGTTAAGTGGTTACTGGAGCCTATAGACATCTACATCGTAAATGCGCCACCCACCTTGAGATATTAGTTCTAAGGTCTCATTATAGTTACAACGGCTGCCCCACCCTTCAAACCGAAACGCATTATTGCTTCACGGCAGAAATAGATAGGGTGGTGGTACATACCCGTGCGGACTCACAAGATGTCCTACCACCAGTAAAAAGGTCCTATCATCAGCAAAAAATATATCGGGCAAGATGTGACTTGACGAGGCCTGGATCTCATAACTGGACTGTATCTCACGATCTTGAATCAACTTGGCTTTTTTCCAATGAAATACCAATATACTTAACAATTATAACATGATTTAATAAAAAGCAACCCACAAAAAATATACTTTGCGTAATTACTGGATGACTTCTGAGCCTACATATGTAGATACCACCACCCTGACTATTTATGCCGTGAAGTAGTAATGTGTTTCGGTTTAAAGGGTAGGGCAGCCGTTGTACTGTAAAAACTGAAACCTTAGAACTCATGTCCCAAGAGGGATGACGGCATTTACGTTGTAGATGTCTATGGACTCCGATTACCATTTAGCACTTCATGGGCCGTGAGCTCGTCCACCCATATAAGCAACAAAAAAAGTATTCTCAGAATTTAAACTCAGATGAGCTCCAATTTGCTGCACTGGGCTGTTTCGGTTCGTCTCTGCCATAGCCCATATTCATGAGCAGCGGCGACCACTCACTATCAGGTCAAAAAAATCGGTATCTTTTCTTTGTCTTTAGCAAGCCTTTTATTTTGTACCGAACATAATATGCCTTGTGTTTTGGGTTCCAGGTCGATGTCGTCTTTACCTCCGGAGCCGTTTATGATGCTCCGTGCTAAAGCTTTAAGCAAGCGCGTCATCATCAACGTGGGTGGTGTAAGACACGAGGTGCTATGGAGAACCCTAGAACGACTGCCACACACGCGGCTTGGCCGACTACGAGACTGCAACACGCACGAAGCCATCACAGAACTCTGCGATGACTATTCGCTTCAGGATAACGAGTACTTTTTTGACAGGTGATATAAATTTTTTTTTTTTTTAATAACTTTGCCATTATCAATAGCAGAAACTTTCAGGCTTCATAATTTGTCAGTGCTAAATGGGGACCGTCAATGGGGCCTGTCATAATGCCAGATATTTGTTTTTGCTTACCATAGAAAACTGATACGTATCGTCTAAATTAATCTGATGAAATTCGACGTATTTACTACTATTATTTTTTTCTGTAACGTGTTTCCCAACATCTCGATGTAAATTATTAACTACAAAACGAAAATCTTATTGATGAAAACAGTGATTTGTAATCCAAACTAACAAGTGGTTGATAAAGCTTTTGTATATTTGCAGACACCCGAAGAGCTTTAGTTCGATTTTAAATTTCTATCGAACTGGTAAACTTCACTTAGTGGATGAAATGTGTGTGTTGGCATTCAGCGATGATCTCGAGTATTGGGGCGTGGATGAGTTGTATCTGGAGTCTTGTTGTCAACACAAGTATCACCAACGGAAGGAGCACGTTCATGAGGAGATGCGCAAGGAAGCCGAAAGTTTAAGGCAGCGGGAAGAAGAGGAGTTTGGTCAGGGCACATGTGCTCAATATCAGAAATGGCTTTGGGACTTATTGGAGAAGCCGACCACGAGCATTGCGGCGCGGGTAACGTATTTCTAATGATTCGATATCAGAATATCTCGATACTAACAAATAATTCAATTCAGCTCTGCTGCAAGGAGGGTAATCGAATCAGGGGAGGTATCTCTGTCATATTTATATTTAGCACTGTGTAGAGGCTTCTATCAGAATGTATTTTTTAGTGTAGACGTAGAGGTTCACACAGTGACACTATTCACATAATTTAATAATTACTAAACTTATACATAGTTTTGATAGAAAACACGATTCAAACTTGTGATTTAAATAGATTCACACTCCCGGATATTATCCGACGATCCGCACTGCCACGTCTACTTAGAAAAATGCTAATCCAAATAAATACAAATAAATATACTCGTACCTACAATAATTGAATACCCACGTTTTGACTTCAATCTAAAATGAACACTTAATGTACAACACATCAATTCGCTTGTTACAAGATAGTTTACACATAAACAGATTTATACCACTGTTTTAAAATTGTAATTTTTAGTAGTAACAATATTGCGTGTTTTGTATGTTTACACTGTGTTTGTGGTGCATGAATAACATCTATCGCTGTTTCCTTTATCAATGTTGTATGTCTTCTTGTTATTGTATTGTAATGTGGTGTTGTGTTCTGATATTGAAACGGCATTATGCAGTCTTCGATTGCTTTTGTCAAAACGTTACGTAGTTTTAGGAATCTGTTTAGCGTCTACGTACCTATTTATAAGGTCTACTACTATGGTATCGAGAACAGCGATTTGAGCTTGTTTGAGTAAGTATTTTTAATAAAGTTTCGTAGGGTTCAGTTCAATATATTTTCGATTATTATCTTATAATAAACTAACCTTAAAATTCTATGTTATATTTTGATCAGTGAATTTATTTTTTACCAGACATACTATAGTCCGTATGTCCAAAGTGTTTTTCCCTCGCGAAATTACGAATAATCCAACTATTTTATATGTTTTGTTCATGTTTTGACAGTATACTTTAAGATCTCTAAAATACCCTGTAGATAATATAGTACATCTATTTTATACCAAATTTATTAACAAGTATTTAAATGCACTATATAAACAGTAGGTATCTTATTTGTATTGTGAGATTGGCTATCTGATGCCACTTCTGCCTAAATATTGTTGTTGATGTTCACAGCCGCGTCGATGAATATTTAATTTAAAAAAACGAAGCTTAATTGTTGTCGCACATTGCAAATATGGGATGGGCTTGCGCGATGTGACCAACCACCGCGGGGTGACGTTCGCTGTGAAGCCTGCGTGCGGGGTCGCACGGGACGGCCTCGTGCACGCTTCGGACCGGACGCGTCCGTCGCGTGCCGGACCGCGCCCGCGCTGCCTCCCACTACGGCTGACGTCACTCGCTGGCGTATACCCTCTCCTGTTCGATTCCGAGGTCCTACTACTCCCGCTGTTAACCGTTCCGTGCTCAAACGGATCAGTGCTTTTGCTTCGTGATGTTAATACTGGTGCAACTAACCGACCTATACGGCAGATGGACGGAAGCGCGTCTCACATTTCAAAAAAAAAAACGCACTTCCGTTCACCGAATGTCTACTTGTCAATAACATGTCTATTACACACACCACAATCACACAACACTACTTACAGTTCACACGTATAGATGTTATTTTTACACTAAAATTACTAAACGATTTAACTAAAGTCAGGAACAATACATAATTAATATAGTTACGCGAACTGATTGGCTTTTAATGTTTTGTAATAATTTGTAAATATATAACTCTAAGCTCACACAATTATACTTATTTTTCTAAATTATCACTGAGTGTCTTATATATACATAACTTATGTAGTTTTGTACAAACACATGCATACTTACCGACTACATTTTCTTTCTAACAAAGCAAAAAGGTAGTTTGTTTTTCTTTTTAATTCTAAATCACAAAGAAACGTTCTAAGATATCGCTTGGTGGCAGAGCGGTGGTCTGATGCGTCTTTTAACGATGATTGAAGATGGACCGCTTAGTTTAACGTTTTTGCAGGTGATTGCTGTGATATCGATTCTTTTCATCGTGCTCTCCACGATAGGGCTCACTCTCAACACAATCCCTCAAATGCAAGTTCACGATGACAAAGGCCCGATGGACAATCCGAAGCTGGCAATGGTCGAGGCCGTGTGCATCACTTGGTTCACGCTCGAGTATGTGCTGCGGTTTAGTGCCTCACCGGATAAGTGGAAGTTTTTTAAGGGTGGACTGAACGTTATAGACTTACTGGCGATACTGCCGTATTTTGTGTCTCTATTCCTTCTCGAAACAAATAAGAACGCTACGGATCAGTTCCAAGACGTGCGTCGTGTTGTTCAAGTATTTCGTATAATGCGAATACTGCGCATCCTCAAACTTGCACGACATTCGACCGGGTTGCAATCCCTCGGTTTCACACTCAGGAACTCTTATAAAGAACTCGGCCTTCTAATGTTGTTCCTCGCTATGGGAGTGCTTATATTTTCTTCGCTGGCGTACTTTGCCGAAAAGGAAGAACCTGGTACCAAATTCATTTCGATTCCGGAAACATTCTGGTGGGCCGGCATCACCATGACGACAGTCGGATACGGTGACATTTACCCTACGACTCCGTTGGGCAAGGTCATCGGCTCAGTATGCTGTATCTGCGGCGTGTTGGTAATTGCGTTACCCATTCCCATTATCGTCAACAATTTCGCCGAGTTTTACAAGAATCAGATGCGGCGCGAGAAAGCCCTTAAGCGTCGAGAGGCTCTCGAGCGAGCCAAGCGCGAGGGCTCCATAGTATCTTTCCACCACATAAACCTACGAGACGCTTTCGCCAAGAGCATGGACCTCATCGACGTCATTGTTGACACAGGTCAGTAATTAAAGTAACGTTTGCTTTTGCTATTTGTTCATGTCACGTTTTTCTTCGCCTGCATAACAATCCAATGTCTGTTNGCCCTTAAGCGTCGAGAGGCTCTCGAGCGAGCCAAGCGCGAGGGCTCCATAGTATCTTTCCACCACATAAACCTACGAGACGCTTTCGCCAAGAGCATGGACCTCATCGACGTCATTGTTGACACAGGTCAGTAATTAAAGTAACGTTTGCTTTTGCTATTTGTTCATGTCACGTTTTTCTTCGCCTGCATAACAATCCGATGTCTGTTATCAATATTTTGCACGCATGCCTTTTCAGCTGTCGCATGCGGGCTATGATATGTGTGTTGAATGAATGCACGTTGCATCGTTCGCTCTCCGGACTCGCAGACATGTACAAATTCAGAACAGATCACGTTACATCGCAGCTACAGCTAATTTCGCCCGTTCGGTAAAACGAGGTGCACTCAGAGTGTTTATTCCTTGTCTTCAGGTGACAAGTGCGTCCTCATTGAGGCGAGAGACGACGCGAGATGAACTACTTACTCCTAAGACACAATCGTCACACTCGACCCCTTAGTAAATTGTCCGTAGCACGGGGTCGGGCCCGCGTCGCGTGTAGCTTGCGATGTGCGACGAAGACACTGTATTTTAAGGTCGTTTACATTGTTAGCGTAAGCCTAACGCTCTCTAGAACTAACAAACCCTATAAATGGACTGTCCGGTGTGTGTTTCCGGAGGACGCTGGGTTTTAGACTATATGTGTTGAATGTGTGTTGTGTGTAGTTTATTGTTACGTAGAATCGCTGTTAACGTCACTATGTTGTTTAAAAATTTGCAATGATCGTGTCGGACGCTCGATGTCGTACAAACAATAATGAAAGCGTCGCTACTGATGATGGTATGTGTCTCCAGGACACAATTTGTCGCAGGCGGATGCTACTAGTTTGGAAGGCGAAGCTCCTGTGACCACTGGCTGCTATAAACAATACGAACACAGTATACCCAACAAGCTCTCTCTCGATACAGAATCAAATCAGGTGATTAACACGCTTTTATTAGCGGTATTGGTATGTATGTTTGTTTGTATCTAACATAATCTATAGACGTTAGAATTTGTGCTTGTATCAAAGACAGATTATAATACAAAAATTTTGTAACTTCGCTCTAATATCTTGACGAGTATCAACAATATTAAAATAGGTAAACTTAATTGTTCGTTCGGTTTTTGAATTTGAAGGTTGATTTTCATGTTTGTTTTTAAATTACATAAATTCTTTTATAATTTCAGTTCTTTTACGACGTGATTTAATTTGCCACCAAAATAATTTAATTTCAATTATAATTTGTTATTAACTTGTTTAAACTGAATATCACGGTGCAAATTTGTAATTTCGAAATAATCCTTATTTAGTTCTAAGCATTTTCAATTAATGTACTTTTTAATTTAGTTTTTATTTTTATATTATTTTAGTTTAGTTTGTAAAATAAATTATCGATTTCAGGGTAGCCCCAAAAAAGAGAGACGGTACTCCAATGAAGTCCCCGGCACGCCAGAGAAGCGTCTCCTGATAAACCCCGAGCCTACTCCTGTAAGATATCCTTGGTTATTTTGACAAAGTTTAAACACGACTTACATCATTCTGTCTTCACTATTGTTGGACGTTGGCAACTCGTTAGTGACGTATGACATAGTTCGTTGATCTATGGCACGTGTGACGGTTGCATTTAAACTGTTCGCTCGTAAAAATATAAACATAACGAAAACTACTTTCACGATTTAATCTCGCTTTTTTTATTGTCATTATATTATTTCTGACATTTCGAATACTTTAGAACTAATAAGGTGTTATTAGTTGACATTTGAAAATCGAATTCCATATTTTGTTTGCAAAACTTGAAACTTAGTTAAACTTCGGAATTAATGTAATGACAATTTAAAAAAAAAAACGCGGCATCAAAAAGTAAAAGTAGTTATTATTGTGTCTACGAATCGCGAAAATCCAAAGAAATATATAAAGATATATTGTACTAAAAATACAACACATAACAAATGAATTATTAATATTTAATACACAATTAATTTGTCGAATCTTTTTATTTTTCGTATGAACCCTCACTGTTTGCAGTCAAGAACTTATTGCTTGTTACTATTCAGACATGTCTGTTTAACATTAACCGATTTCTAAGCGGTATCGCACGTATTTTAATTCGGTTCTCACGAAGCGCCTATCTGAGCTACCACATTGACTGCGACCACTAAAAATGTTTCTCTTCTAGGATAAGAAGATGGCTGACAAACAGCTTGACTTGGATCAGCTGCCTTCTGAGTTTGAGTGTTGTTTTTGCACGTTCAAGGTACTAAGAAACTAACCTCGACTAGCAGCTAATTTAAATATTGCTTTATTCTTATAATTAAATTTAAATATCAACCGATTTTAACAGCTCGACGGTTTGTAAGTATCAATTGATTTAAAATTCTTTCGAATTATCTTGATATTGATTCATGTTTATAAAATAATCAATCGTCACTGTCAAACCAAAATCAGCTATGTGGAAAAACTCTATTTTGAATTAGCGAGTAAAAACATTTTCGTATAAAATTTTATATGAAAGTGAATTTTTAAGAACTATATCAAATGAAAGCTATTGATAAATATTAAAACTATAGACACATAACAGTTTTTTTTATACGGTAGATGGGGCTGTGAACTATACGAAAAGGTGAAAAAGTAAAAATCTCAAAAAGTGCACATAGCAGATTTTGGTTTGATCACGACGAAATATCGTTTCGAAGGTTAACTAAATATTATCAAATAAGAATATTTTGGAAAGTAAAAAAAATAATTGTTTTGAGTCTTCAATCATTACTTACACTTATCGGTTTTACTTAAAGGGTTACAAGGAGTTCATAGATGCAGAGCAATTGATGCCTATGTCCACGTCTGATCTGCGCCAGCCAGTCTGTGTAGAGCTGGCTTGTCTTCAGCGACATCCTGCACCCAAGGCCCTACCAGAGGCCACACCTAACAGTTTAGATAGCCCAGGTCGGTGATCACACCAACTGTAAGAAAATAATGTACGCCAATGGTCGAATATCATTTTCGACCCGTTGATCTTACATTATCCTAGCAGTTTGTTTACACGAGATCTTTTGCATTCAATTTCTTTACTTTTGATTAAGTTAAAGACGAAATTTGCATTTTCATCAAGTTCATCGTAATAAAATACAGATTAATTATTAATTGATTAACATTAATATGGTATCGTGTAATTTTGAGTGCGAGAATTGTTTCTTTTCATGTTTGAAGGATACCTACTTTGATCAATTGCGTTGGGTCTTACTGAATTTATAATTGTCCGTTTTTATCCCTGAAGTTCAATGTTTATTGACGTATTTACTTATTCACGTCCTTGTGTTTGTCTTACACAGCACTATTTCGATTATAAATTTATTTGTTCGAAAACACGAATGTATCGGTAATCGTTGCTACTATTGTAATATAAATTGAGAATAGAGCACGGCTCCATTTGCGTGTGTCTTACGTTACAGATACATTTGCATCATGCCTTACGCACCCTTTTCCTTCAGAGGGAGACATCGCATGCGAGAACGACTCGTCAAACTTGTATGTGAATCCTCTGGATGGTAGCGGCGGGGGCGGCGCGGGTGCGGGAGAGGGTGGGGTACCGGGGGTACGGCGGAGCGCTTCCGGGGACGGGAACGTGTTGTGTGCGAAGGGTTCGCAGGGCGAGGTGTCACCGCGCGGGTCGCGGGCCAGTCTGAGCGGCGCTGTAGTGCGGCCCCTCGACGCCTCGAGGACCAGTCTGCCGCAGCCCTTAGACGATTTACCCGACGACACAAAGCCCAAACACAGAAAAGCTCGCTTCCAACAGGTAAAGATGCGCGATCTGCTCTGCCATCTGACGTCAAAACCGATGCTGCTAAAATCATCACCCTCTTAACAACATCCGGGCTGTTTTTACCCTAATCTGAGCAGGACAATATTTTTTTATCTTGTATAATCCGATACAATTCTAATGTGTGCACGATTTAGCGCATCTTGACTGTTGTGTTATTGAAAACGCATGTCCATGTTTTCCTTTTCAATGTTTTAAATGAATACAACAAAATTTGTGATTAGGTTATGATTTTGTTTCTGCATTAACAGGAATGGACCGACGAAGAGAGGAAGCCGCCGAGGGGTATAGCAACGAGGATAATCAATCACCACATCCTTTTTGGTTCGTTAAACCAATTTCATTTTTTTTATTGCCTAGATGGGTGGACGAGCTCACAGCCCACCTGGTGTTAAGTGGTTATTGGAGCCCATAGACATCTACAACGTAAATGCGCCACCCACCTTGAGATATAAGTTCTAAGGTCTCAGTATAGTTACAACGGCTGTCCCACCCTTCAAACCGAAACGCATTACTGCTTCACGGCAGAAATAGGCGGGGTGGTGGTACCTACCCGTGCGGACTCACAAGAGGTCCTACCACCAGTGATAAACCAATTTGATAGGTTCATTCTTTCAATTATAATAGTTGTTTATAAAACAACGATACTTCTTTTTCTCCACCTTATCCCACTAGGTGGGGTCGGCACAGCTAATTTTTCTCTTCCATTCTCTTCTATCAGCCGTCATCTCAACACTCACTCCTCTCTCTCTCATATCGTCATTCACACACTCCATCCATGTCTTCTTCGGTCGACCTCTTCCCCCTCTACCTTGCACTACAATTTCCATACATCTCCTAGTCAAATGCATCTTCTCTCTACGCATCACATGTCCAGACCACGCTAACCGTCCGCTCCTTAATTTGTTGCTTACAAAACAACGATACGAACAGGTAAAAACGGCAACAAACGGGGGGGCGGCTGGCCGTCAGAAGGCGACTCGCGTTCCCGGTCCATCCTCAAGAACAAGGAGTCGCGCGGTACAGACAGCGAGCTGCTTCTGCAAGAAACTACATCACTCGGCGCAAATGTATGTACATTTTTATCAAGATCCAACTAGTGTTAAAATTTATATCGAAATAGAATTATCTGTTCCAGTTTTAAACTTAGTTTTATTTGAATATAAGATTATTATATCGACGCTTGAAAGGCAAAAGTAACTAAGCGACAATGCGTGAACTTTACAGTAGACTAATTTAAAGTTGAAATTAATTTAAAACATACTTGAGAAATACCAGAAAAAAATTCTATTTTAACGAATTTAGCTGTAGGATTGAAATGATTTTAATAGACCTAGGAAAATATATTTTTTGCGCATCGAATATGGTTATTGCCTATCATTTATGTACAAAGCAGTTATTGTCGCTTAGTCACGTTTGCCTTTCAAGCGTCGATATATTTAATTAAGGCGTCGTATTGACAGGCGTCGATTTCAGCAATGCCAGAGGCAAAGCCAAGCGGCTGCTTACCGCTAATGTATATAGTATTATATGTAGTATAATCGAGTTTTAAAAAAAATATATTTTTTGTTATAAGCGGAAAGATCATATATTTGTTTTATAAGAAAACTATTTTTTTTTTTTCGAAATCCCAATTGAATTGTTTCTAAGCCGCTTTTAGTTTTGTTTTTAAAGCTATAAAATACAGTGCAATCACAGCGCGTTGTTCTATTGAATACAATAAAATTAAAACAGAAAAAAAAAATCCTCAATTTCAGGGTGACTCCGGTAGTGAATCATCGCCGATCCGACTAAAAGACTTCAAAGGCCAAAACCACAAAGGTGGAGCACCGGAGAGGGATAACGTGATGACGTAGACCGCTTCGAGCTTAGGCGTGACGTCACGATACATCACGCCTCGCCTCAAAAATCGACGCGAACGACCTTAATTAGTACTTAGAATGCAATAATATATTGAATAATTTTAACATATCATTGGGCGATTGTGACTGCTTGTTGAATATAGAATTTCATTTAGTAGGATTATAAATATTGTAAAAATATATATATTGTAATTGTTCATTCCAATCGAAAAGTTGAAGGTATCTATTTGTTAAGTTTTTTTACGTGCAATTATTAATTGCTAAATTTATAATGTAAGCGAATTAGTTTGTACAGCGTAGTCGATGAAAATGAAGCAATTATTAAAATTAAACATTTTCCGAAATTGTTAATTCGCTGTATTTTATTTTACGATCTTCTAAATTATATTGATTGACACGAGCGACCAACGGAGACAATGGAAACGCACGCAGTTTTTAATTCAACAATTTATTTGGAAGCTTAATATTTCCACAATTAATAGATCGAGGTGTCAAAACTTAACATTTAGCATTAATTTTTGCTAGTGACGTCACAATGAATACATTCATTAACACATTCAAACGTACATAATATTACATGTAAATATGAAAAAAAATATAGTCGAATGAGGAGGGTCAGTTCAAAAGGTAAAAAATAATATTCTTTGATTACAACAATAACTTATTGGTAATGAGAGTGTTCCCTGTTTGTTTTATACACAACAAAATTATATCTACAATTAAAAAGAAACCGTTTTGTATAAAAGCATTGACACTAATCGTTAGTGTGTGTGTGCGAAGTAGAAACATTTCTATCTCTTTCGCACCTCCGCGACATACTGTCGTTGACGTTTAAAAGCAATTTGTGATTCTATTTTGTTGACAATAAACTCTTTCAACATATTATAGGTTTCCCAACTTAGCCATTTCACAGGTGGTTTCATAATATTCTAGAAAATATATCTATGATGGATTTTTTTAAATGGGCCTACATCCCTGTTGGCCGTTGCTAAGATTTACGGGTTACCTTTTGAACATAATTATCCGCCTCGCAATATGTAATATTTTTTATTCTAAATTTAAAAAATATTAGAAACGAACCCATACTACCACTCATAGCATAATTTAATATGGAACTTTAATAATAATACTCGAAAACAATTTCAACAAAATAACGTTCCTTTTCTTAATATAAAGTCATCATAATGAATAATACTTAACAACAAAACGAATAAAATACTTTGGTTTTAAATGAGTACACACTTTCCCACACGTACACTGGTTTAATAATGTTATTTCCTAATCTTTTTAGAAAATACGTCCTACAAAATTTAACAACTGAAATATAATCTGTTTCAATCAAATATTACGAAACTATATCGCGTTTAATATGTATATAAATAAGAGTGCAATTGTGTAATAGCATAAGCACAAACATACGAAAAAATTTAAACAAACAACAAAGTTTCTAAGCTATTATTATTCGTGTGATTTTTGTAGGATTTGTGATGAACGAATATAACGGTCCCAGTCAATATTATCAATAATTTTTTAATGTTGGCAGTATAGTCCAAAAATCATCGCATACGATTTAGGAAATTAAAAAATAAATAATCTACTCTGAAACACTTTAGTACAAAAATTCAAGATTTTGCAGTATTTTTTTAAGTGTAGAAATGCCAGCCTTTAATATAAATATTGGCAATTGTCCCACAAAATAGTTTTTCTACGCTGGCAACTCCAATCTATAGTCTATTCCACGGTCGGAATACAGAGCACTTGACTGCTATAAAGAAAATACTACAAATTGTTCGTTGTTATTAATCATAGTTCAGAGCGGTTTTGTATTAATTAAATATCGATTATTAAAATTGATACTAAGCTTTTGAAGCCACGCTCCACAGTGATGACCGTAAAATGAAAAACTTCTAATTGTCAAAGGCAGTCGTGCGCCATCTTTCGTAAGTTTAAGTACAATAATTTCTCTGAAGTGCCTCAACGACATTTGTACAATGTTCAATTGAACTCAATCGGATAAAAGTGACGAGATCTTACGAACCAATTACGTACGTTCGAACGTTCATTATCATATTTGAAATTGTATTAAATAAAAAAAAACTGTCAGAATCACGTGACGTCTAAGAAGTAGTTTTTAAAAGAAAAAACCATTAAAATATGTCGCGATTCAGTATCTAACTACCTACACTCAGGGACGTCTTAAATTAGGCTGGGGCCCTTGGGCACACAAGAATTTGAGGCCCTTTTGGAAAGTAAAAAGAGCGAATTATAATAACATTTTTTTACCGAGTATGACCATTTATTATATATCAAATACGGTATGATATAATATGTCATTAATGATATTAGAATGCTGCTGGTTTTTTGGTTACGATCACGATAACGGAAACCGAATAAATGTGTGAGGGAAATTGTCGGTCCTTAGGGCCCCCTGAGAATGGGGGCCCTGGGCACGGGCCCCGTGTGCCCTTATGGTAAAGACGGTATTGCCTACACTGTTTTGTGACGTCTCAAGAATGTCACAAAATCTCAAAAGAATGTTAGATTAGTACCTGATTTCTTTGCGTTTCAAATGTAATTGTTTCAATATAGATGTCATGTGATATTAATATTCAAAGTAAGCTTTACCGATTCCAAAAAAAAGTAAATGCCGAAAATAACCCACGAAACAAAAGTCTATATGTATATATGTAAGTCTAAATGTGTAAATAAACATACATATGGCACACGTTTTATGATGCTGTCTAATAGCCTATTTGGACGCAGTAGTAAACAATACAGCTCGTTATTTAAATTTATTAAAACACAATATAAATTTCGTAAATTTGATTGAAACATTCTTTATGATATGTGAAAAAATAAAATACAATAAACATTTATCTCTACGTACACTGTTAAGGCATTCATTAATCTATATTAAATTACTCTGAACACACGAACATCTTATAATTTTATTTAAATTCATTGGCAGTAAATCATGGCACGATTTAGATGCACTAGTACAATATAGTTCAGTACACAGGGTGTAAGGGGCCCGCTTTCGGAATCGTGTGCTTAGTGCGAGTTTTTTCACTTCTCGATCACGTAAAAGTTAACTCAAAGTATGTAGTTGGAACAGCGCCCCTAGCGGCAAACGGCACTATGCACACCGAAACAGTTATGTTCTACTACTACCTTAAAATGTAAGGAAAACTATTTTTATTTTCAGAGCTGATAATGACTGGAGATTTTCAATACGCGAATATTTTACTATTTTCTTCGGCTTGCTCTATTCGTTGACATAAATAGTTACTTTTACAGTTTAATTTAACCTCACGATGGCAGTCATCCGTAACTACGAAAACTGTGATGCATTCGGAATCTCAGAAACAATATAATGACAATAAAAATGTGAGATTAAGCCGTAAATTTAGTTTAATTACGACTTTTTTTTATCGCTTGCAGTATTCGACCAAACTGCCACCTACATATTTGTTCGAAAGCATAATCCAGTACACCCTGGACTATTTTAGAGGACAAAAATATTTTTATACTTTATCACTTACATTATTTTGTATACGATCGAGAATAACTTTAATCTTTTAACATTTTAGTAAATATATACATATACATATATATATTATTATTAAATAAGCATTATCGACGTTGATTTGTTCAAAGAAATCTTGGCTAGAAACAGAACCGGTTCAATTGTTTATCGATGATGAAAAAAGATAATTCACAGAGATAAATTAGTAATTTCCAGTCTTTTTTGAAATATGAAAAAATTAAATACAGTAATGCTGTGGTTAATTAGGCTTTCTTTTTTGTGGAGGATTTTGAATAATTTGACGATCTCTGACACTGAAATCGCATTTACTGGTAGAACTTTAGGACGCATGGTGACAAGTACCTGCCTATAACTGCCGTGTAGCAAACATGAATTTGAAAGAGTGGAACAGGCATTACGAAACAACAGACAAGAAAGGAAAGCGAAAGCGTTTACAGCTCAAGAATATTTCGCTGGTGGGGTTCGTAGGGCTTGACCAGTGTGGAGCCCGCGGTAATTATGCTTGGTGTTTCTTGTGCATTTTCGCCTGGTTTATGTAAGAGCTATTTGCGCGGTAACCAGAGAAAGTCTAAGCTAAAGCGACAGTGGTGCAGGGAAAGGATACTTCGGGATTTTCGTCCTTTTTCGGCCCGATCTTCCCGATTTCGGCTAGATCAGTGATCGTATTGCACACTACATCGGTCTTCCTTATTCCCGATAGTGGGAGGACGAAATCAATCAAATGTAAACAAAAATATACATAAGGTAAATTCTTCTGTTGGACGGCAGCATCTTTCATAGCCATCTTTAGTTAAAACATGGTGCAAACATGGTGCATGGAGATTTTTTGATTTATTTTAGATATTTTGATGTTGATTACTTTTAAGTGAAATAAGATATAGAGTCTTACTTCGTAACAAGTTCTTTTTATAGGAAACTAAAGGTAGACTGAACAGATTAAGTGAAAGCAGGGTAAAGTGTCACATAAAAAATAATCAAAGAGTCAACATAAAAATCACATAACAAATACATTATACATAAGTAATATATAAATATCAGAAGCGTAAGACCGAATCTAGGAATTTTTATCAAAAATCGTTCGACACGTACATGTGTTTAGTTTATTTTTTTTGTCTTTTAGTATGGTCTCCGCGTTTAGACTATCATTTTAGATATCAATTTAGAGAATATCCATGCTAGTGAATTTTCATAGAATCTTCTTTAGTTTAAGAATCATGATCTTTCGAAAACGACCAGCAATACAGCGAAAGAGGTTGGTTATACCCATCGAAGAATCTAGAATATTTCCGAACAGCCTCTTTACATTGAATGAAAATTCAATAGAAAATTCTCTTAACTATTTGAGACGGAGACATCGTCTCCATTCTATCGTACATGTTGTCAATTTCTTGGAACCCTGGAACTCTTCGGACCAGACCCGAGAAGTGTTCTAGGCAGTATTTATTTTTTCATTAAACTATTGTCATATTTATCTAGAATGTCATTTCGTTTTTAAAATATAGAATTAAAATATATTTGTCTATGGATAACGTTTCATATAGCTTTATAACCTTTGGACGATAATTACTACGATCATTATTCAATTGAACAGCGTTAATCTGCTACACAGAGTAAAATTAATAATCATCGTTCGCGTTAAATGGTAAATAAATAATATTAATTATATACCCTATAGACAATGATCGTTAAGTGGAAAACCACACATCCGTTTGTTGCCTATTGAAATTTTAAAGCCCTCGTATTTAATATTAAAAACAAAAAATAAAATATCACATTATAACTTTGTCATTTCGTAATGTCAGCCGAGTTGACACTAGTACAGTTTACGAATAAAACGACGTCACGAATTAAAACCTTCCTTCGTTTTTTTTTTAAGGTCGGTTAACAATACAAACAGACAAAAGAGGCACGAAAGGTATGTACATGATCATAATTGAAATGAATAAAGAATGAGCGAGGTTAAGATAATAAAAAAAATTAATTATGTTAATTTATTATTATATTACATACATAATAATATAGTCGAATTAAACAAGGTTTGATTGTAAGTAAACGGAAGGAACTCTGAATTAGTTTTAAATCACTATTCGATTCAATTGTAACCGCTATGATTTGAAATCTTTAATTTTATCTCATAAATGATTAACTTTTCTTTCTTTCCTCGACATTTTTTTAGAGTATAATAATTTAAAGTAATAGGGAGGAGTTGTCGGTCTCCGGATTTTCGGTATATTAATAGTTCTCAAGAAGGAGTCGATTTATATATATTTTAGAAACTGATTTATGTTGTATTGTGTAATTTTGCTTCAATATAACTACATATTAAATAAAAAAATTACAGATTAGGGATTCCGATACTGTTCGATTTCGGTATCCCATGGGTCGACATAAACAAATTTTGCATGTCGTCGAGGTCTAAAGATCGATCTCTATTAACACGAGTCCTTATAAGAAATTTTCAAGATACTATGTTAAGTTAATACCGTAATAAGTTGTGTTACGTGTACCAACGCGTAATAACAATTACCAATATTTTAGTAGGAAGCATCACTGTTGTACTATAACTTTAACTAACTAAATTTTATATCTATATATTTTGTTTGTGTTTTGATGAGAAAGTGATGGGAAGTATTTCAATAGATATAGGATTTGTTAAGGAGTTTGGATATGAGGTCTGAGGTATCAGTTCATTTTGGAAAAGGGGTCTCTTGTCCAAAACAGTTTGGGAATCTCTGGCATAGATTAATTGTATATCATTATTGTTTTTCGTATTTTATAGATAATTGGGACCATGTCTCTATTCTATAATGACATTCACCTGTTCTGCCTCTTTTGAACAATAATTAACCTATAACATAATTTGTGAAATAGAATATAAAAAAAAAAAACTAAAAAAAATACTGTACAAACATTTCGTTTTCTAATTGAATAACGTTACTGCTTAAATACCGCACCCCTAAATTTTACAGTATTCGAAGACGACGTAAAACTGAAAATATGATAATAAATTTCATTAATTTTTTTTTAAATATGTATAAAAATATGTGAAGAACACGGAAAGCTAATATAATATACACAGTTATGGTGCGCAGGATTATGGTTAATTTCATTCCTTACATAATATAATTAAAATACAACATTCGAAATAAATAAAAACTTCTAAACGTCAAAATCAATATATCATTTGAAATAAAATATAACATACTGTCTTTAAAATGCAGCCAGTACGACCTCATAGAGTACATTTAAGGCGACTAATCCAACTCAAGCTATGCTACGCTGTGCAGCGCTGAGCTAGCTGTTTAGTAGTTTTGTTCCCGTTCAATCTTGTGCAAGGTTGCGACATGCAGATGTATTGTTAAGTGCGAGCAAGATAGATGGAGCACTCAGTGGGCGACTTGTGTGCTGAGGAGCGAGACAGCGCATATCGCGCCTCACACATCGAAAGCAACGCTTGCGCGCACAGAACGGAACATAGCCACAGCCCGTGATGGGGAGTAATCACCTTCTAAGTAACGAAGCGATCACAATTTAGTTCAATCATCCTGTTCGTTAGTACGAAACGCTTTAACCAACATTCCGAAGCGTAGATTTAGTACGTAAATAGAACCCGGTGCACACGTGAAATCCCTGTACACTAAGTACATTATAACAAACCAATGTTTTAGTCACCACACCGAGGTTGCATAGAAATTCACATCGCACAAACATGTCAAACGCACTGGAGGCGAGTCAAGGTAGGCGTACACTACCTGTGCCACGCTATAGTGAGCGCCGCTCTCAGTTTCCCCCACAGCCACGGGTAAAGGCCTCCGCCCCTCCACGCTGTCCGAGCCATGAACTTCATGTAGTCGATGAGGCTCCACGGCGCGTGGCCCCCGTTCACATAGTACACGTATGTGAAACCGTCTTTACAACGGCCCTTTATCGAGTAGTAGTACGGAAGAAACGAGTGTAGAAGGAATCTGAAATGTTTTTACAAAACATTCATTCTGTTTGCCTTAAAAAACAAAACGTATAGTATTATGAATTAATAAATAACGCAAACAATACACTGTCTTATTTTCTAATAGTGTTCTAAGCGAGGCTAAAAATTTTCAAGGCAATTGTATTCTTTGTAATTGTATGGGGCAAGGGAAATAAGTATCTACAGTTGAAAAGTTCTTCCTTTAGTTTACTTAGAATCGATTGATGTTTCAACGTAGCGCTTTAAATAAATAAAATTTAAAAAAACACACACGATAAGATACGGCTAATATCTATTTAGATAATCCGCTTTGGTTATGTAATACATTATTTAGTTCAGCGAAGAAAATTCGGTAAACATAAACTCAGATTTCATCGAATCTCTGCAAAGAATCACACACGCGCTGTAAGATATTTTATGTGTTACATGTGTACTTCTTATCGATAGTAAACCTTAGTCGAGTAAATATCGCGAAATATATTGGAACGAAGTTTTGGAACGAAGTTCCTTATCGCGCGTTGTGAAAGGGGGCTAGACGGAAAAAATTCTTACGAAAAGTTGTCACGACACTTTTTAGATCCGTCATTCTGACCAATCAACGTGTAGGCGCTTATCGCGTGACATTGCTCGTATCCGATTGGTCCGCGNAGTTGTCACGACACTTTTTAGATCCGTCATTCTGACCAATCAACGTGTAGACGCTTATCGCGTGACATTGCTCGTATCCGATTGGTCCGCGTAATGAGTACAGTTTCTCGAGATAGCGTTTCAACAATAGTAATTTAGTTCATAGTATTGTTTTTTTCTTCTTCATAATGCCGTAATTTATTATTATAACTTAAAAAAAATAATTACAATTCCTTCACTAATTAATCGAAAGGAACTTCATTCCATCCGGGTGTCCCTTGACACCTCTGAAGTTTTAATTGATTCTGGCGTGAATGACGCACTAGGGCTTAAAATCTGAGGCTAATGTAATGAATCAACAAAATTTCTAGTGTTATCATGAAAATTTCATGCTTCATTGATACGAATTACAATCGATTGCGTTCCTTTTTTTTTTAATCACTATCCCATCTTCTATTCATTTAGCCTAGTCTACTTTAGTCCATCTACATCAGCCTTTCCCAAAGTGGGCGATAAAACCCCCTTGTGGGCGCTGCAGGCGTAAAAGGGGGCGTTAACAGACCCAGAAAAAAATGGGAGCGTTGTGTAGAAGCTTGGGAGGTGATTTGTAATTTCATCTAGGAGAACTCTTACACACCGACTAAGCTCTCGCTATAGTGGTTTTTAAGTAGGTGAAAAAATGGGGGCGCTAAAAAATAATTTATTCTCAAAATGGGCAGTAGACAAAATAAGTTTGGGAGCCCCTGATCTACATGATAGACAGAAATATAGATTTTTAACGAGCAAGGTAAGTGTTACATTACCAAAGTGTAGTGAAATCGTAAATCTTTTTAGTAATATTTAAAATTACGTCTTGTGAGCAATCACGGGCCGCACCACACTGCCAATTTGTGCAGCGGAGCAGAAAAGAGTTTGAAGTTTAGTACAGGTGTTATATTATTCAGTTGAGATTTAGAAGGCATATATCAGAGTGATATCTATGGATTCCGTGAGCTTGGGGCGAGTTTTTTAACGTTCTCGATAGCGTAAAAGTTAATGGAAATTTGTATGGAGTTGGAACGTTTGCCCATATTTGCCGCTAGGGGCGCTGTTCCAACTGTATTCAAATTTGAGTTAACTTTTACGCTATCGAGACCGTTAAAAAACTCGCACTGAGCACACTGGTAACAGTGGTAACCGCTTAACATCAGTTGAACGAACTCACCCGACTATGCACAAAGAAAGTGCCTTTTGAAAACATTACTAAAAATATCTCATCGACAGCGTAATAACATTCAAATTGCAACACTACTTAAGTATGAAGCTATATTATTTATTTTTAACACACAATGTCTCATTCCGAAACTGAATTAACGTTATTTTATATTATTTTATTTATAATGACGTTAATTAATTTGAATTTCTTTTATCACAAACATTCCATTCAACACCTTAGTATGCATGGTGGTAAACAAAAGTTAATAATGAATAAAAATTAATTATTCATAATTATTCATAATCACGTTCTGAAGTTAAAGTGTTTTTGTTGTTTGGTTTTCTTGTCATAAAGTAAAAACTTTTGAATATTTTATGGACCAAGTTGACTTATTGCACAAGAATTAAAACAGGTCAGCGCATTATGATGTTTAAAAAAAACACGCTTATAGTAAAATCACAAATTATACAAAATCGACACATACCGGTCCTTAAATATTTGGTTACATTTTCGTAACTAATATTAGCTGTATTTCAAGAGAACAAAAGTATAGGCCAGAGTAATGTGTACTATAATACAAGAATAAGTCCGCTAAAGACATTAGTATCTGTTAGTTGTCAAATGTTTACATTTACTAAAAATACCAATTCATTTTGAGTGTTGCAACACTACTAAGAGCACTAATTTTTCTATATAAGAAATAAATTACTTATATAAAGAAATTAATTATAATCAATATAGTGTAAATCAAATACATAGGTATTTAAATAAATATAATACTGGAATATTAATATGAACGCAATTGTGTTAAAGAAATAAATTACCTTTTGTGTTCATAAAACAGTATAGCCTCGTTGTTGGTCGTGAGGACGTGCAGAAATATAGCCTTGACTCGATGTTCGTGCGGCGGCTGGGGCACCGGCCCCGACAGGTGGTTGATCAGAACATCGAGCAGCATCGTTGCCACTCCTGAACGACGGTGCGAACGCACCACCCCTGGAAGTCACGTACACCGGATCTTGATCACATTTTATAGTGTGCTTAAGCCTTTTCCGCACTAGGCGAGTATTTTAGTCGAGTACCGAGTAATTTAGTGGCTAAACTACTCGCTACTGCACAGAAATCGTTCGCATTACGGTCCAGTAGAGTACACAAGTGAGTGGTGTTTTGCAAGATGAACAGGCTGCAACGCAATAGAGTGAATAAACTGATTAAGCTAAGCGTAATGGCTATTTCAGAAGAGGTGGATGAGGAAATTTCTGTGACTAAGAAAAATAAGTTATGGGTACGAAAATGGATCGATAGAAGAGATAAACTAGGAGCTACTAAATGTCTTCTGAAGGAATTAGCATTGGAAGAGATTCCAAAAAATACTTCGATAATTTGAGAATGTCCGAAAGTTGTGTGAATTTTCTGTTAACGAAAATACACTCTCAAATTCAGCGCAAAGATACCCTTCTGAGAAGTGCCACTAAAGAACTCGACTAATCAACAGGTTCGGACTTGTTTAGTCAGTGAGCTAGTGAGCAAGGACGCGTGGTGGGAGGCGCCCGAAAAATTGGAACAAAATGGATTGACTTGACTAAATTATTTACTAACCTATTCGACTAAATTTTTGGTGTTCAGACACATTTAGCTACTAAATTACTCGGTACTCGACTAAAATACTCGCCTAGTCCGAACAAGGCTTTAGTGCTAGTTTTTTAACGTTCTCGATAGCGTAAAGGTTAGCCCAATTTTGTATGCGGTTGGAACAGCGCCCCTAGCCGCAAACAATCCGATTCCTTACAAATTTGAGCTAACTTTTACGCTATAGAGAACGTTAAAAAACTCGCACTAAGCACATAGTAGGTACACTTTAAATAAACCTAACCGTCAAAGTGAGTTTGTAGCCATGCACCATATAAATTAAAAAAAATTATTATAAAAGGGCCATTAAAAATAACTGTGTGCGGACGCTACTGGAATTTACCTTTTGTAGTGCGATTTTCATTGAGTAATATAGTACTCGTATTTAATAGGCAAAAAGTGTGTATTAATCTTTTATAATAATGAATGCATGTACACATATACTTTTATTCAAATTTATTTAATCTTAAATATAACTATATATAAATAATAAAAGCGCTGCATCTATTGTCAGGGACGTATAATGCTACTATACGTCATGCTATGTACATCACTATGTTATGCAAAGTTATCTGATTTTGAAAAACGAATGTTCGTACGTTCTGCTTAAAAACGTTAACAGAATCAACATGTTAAATTTAAATTATGCCTGCGACTCGCGTTATACTAAAGAAGATACCGAAATTAACAACGTTTAAATTAAATATTATTTTCTAAGCCAATATTTCAGCCCGTATATCGATTATTAATGTAATGTCAATAAAATCACTGCCAAATTTTGGTACAGTAACTCAATTGGTAGTAAAATATTTATGTATCGAGTGATTTTACTAAACTAGACATGAGATGGGGCGTGACAATTGAATACAATACCCTTTTTGTTTCCTACCTATGCTGATATCCTTGTGAGGCTATTTCAGCTTCTCTTTGACGTGTAGGTGAGCTCACGGGGGTCAAACCGGGAGCGTTGCTAACACTGGCCCTATCAAGAGCAGTACTTCGCAGAATCTACCACCGGATCGGAAACGCGACCCACTGAGAAGATCCGACGAGAAAATCAGTGGGCTGTGTCTTTAGGTTAATTCACTCGTCGAGCCCTGCATCGCAAGCGGCGGGTTCGACGAGGACGGTGACCGGTGCCTGTGCTACCTAAAAGCACCGTTAAAGGATCGGAGGGATCCGTAATGACGTGTAATGCACTTTGATATTAAATCGTTATTTTAATTTGATTGTTCGATTATTATATATTCCATTAATCGATTTGAATAAAGCATATACCGCTTTTCTGTTAACGCTCGAGTTTAGTGCCCATCTAACGATCGTCATCGAAATCGATTCCTAAGAAGTAAACTCCAAAAAAAATACACGAACACTGCATTCAGTTTACGTTACTGTGTTTGTTATTATTTTGACATTTAGTTGCCATTTTACTGGTTTTAGCCCACTGAGTTTCTCGCCGGATCTTCTCAGTGGGTCGCGTTTCCGATCCGGTGGTAGATTTTGCGAAGCACGGCTCTAGCTAGGGTTCGTGTTAGCAACGTCATCAGGTTTGTGCCCCGTGAGCTCACCTACTAGTTAAGGCTACGCTGATACAGCCTCCCAAGGCTCTCAGCTTTGGTAGCCAAAAAAAAACTGATTTTAGGATTGTCTATACTAACATTATAAAGAGGAAAAATTTGTTTGTATGTTTGTATTTAATAGGCTCCGAAACTACTAAACCGATTTGAAAAATTCTTTCACTGTTTGGAAGCTACAATATTCCCGAGTGAAATAGGAAATATTTTTGAAAAAAATGAGGTATCCTTACTACAACTTCAATAATGTAACCCAAGGTGTAAAAAATTACCTAAAATATTCTTTATATCGCGTGCCCTGCGAAAACTATTGATGATAGAATAAAATAATGTACTACGACTTTGTAGACCACATTATTATTTACAAAAAGTGTCGCGATAGCATATTTATGTCTAACTGTTATAGTTATGCCGCAATAAATGTTCTTTTATTTAAAAAAATAAAACAACGTCAAATATCGTTGAACTTTTTGTTAAAGACCCGAGCGGAGCCGGAGCGGGCCGCTTGTTATTTTATAATTGTTTTATACAATATAACAAAGGTGCATTAGCGCAGTGCGAAAATCCGTTTACTGAGCAATGTGGGTTCGGCCATTGTCGGGTCATATGTGCTCAACAATTAGTAGAGGAGTAAGTATATTGCGCCCTCAGCTCCGGATTCGTTCTTGTTACACCCTGCATTTATGGTAGTGACGCATTTCTAAACTACATAGTGTATTGTTATTTGCTTGCGGTTATTCGTCTTGTTGATGACTAATAGGGAACCGGACAACTCTTTCCTTTCAAACTAAACAAAACTCGATTATAGCAATATCACCGCTGAACGATACGAATTAAAATTGTAATGATGTTGCTAGATTGCTTTAGAATGTTTTATTAATGTGTTCGGTGTCCGGTTGCCTATTGTAAAACAATCTACGAGTAATCGGTTGCTCATTACTCACCCAATGACAATATATAAGCAACTAATGTATCCTTGGAAGCGAACCATCTCGACAAGATACCTCTGTCTTCGGCATTCAGTTTTAAATAAGGTTTTATTTCGGCAACAATGAGACCTATGATCTGGTTCTTGTACACTGCCGCGAGCGCGAAGAACCTGTCCGAGGATGTGATGTCTTCATACCAAGACTGCGGGTATTCGATAGGAAACCAGTCTCTGCACAGAGACCTAACCTAAAACAAAGATTTTTTTTATTTCAATGGATTAGCTGCATTGCGATGATTAATAGCGTTTGAGACCACATCGCGTATTTATAACTTAAGGTTCTAATTATTCATAATTTTATGTGTTACTAGCCGTACTCGCCCGCTTCGCTGGGCATTTAAAATTAGCATTATTATTTATTGTCATTATTATAAAGGGAGTCCAACACTCATATAAATATTAGCCTATCCATTAAGTACATGTATTTTTTACATGGATACCAAGTTTCACGTCAATCGGATGCATGGTTCAGTAGTTATAACGGAACATTCGTAAAAACCACTGTAGATTTATATATTAGTATAGATTTGTTTTCGCATAGTAATATAAAATATATATATTTTTAAATCTTAACATGGTCGACACTTACTTGCAGTGGTGACCATGTTCTATCAGGCGACTTTGAATTTGTTGGTAATTGAAAATGAGAACAAAAGTATAACAGAAAATAATATAATAAAGAAACTCTATCACGTGCAATTTACCCTAATTACTTATTGTTCATATTAATTCTTCCACCTCGCGTTGTAAATCGACGGACAATCTTTTCATATTCACAACAACCTCGACGTAACCCAAATTTAATCAATACAGAGATACAAATTAACCCGTAACATTGCATTTAAAAAACATTCTCTTCGCACATGTAGACTTGTTTTAAACACTTCTATCTTATTGGTAGGTATTACAATAACAAATCGAGGAATGATTCATTAAAAATGTTCTGGTTCTTATCTCGGGTGATTTAATACAATTTAGTGAAAAGGCACAAGTTCGCACTTATTTCGGCATTTAAAACGGCAGTTAGAAAATAATGGGAATATAGGTTACATATACATTTATTTATCACTGTCAACGTCTATTAAGTTTCCTTGAATTTAGGAACGACTGTGTGTTTTTAATGTGAAATTTGTTTTAGACGAATATCCATGATGCATATTCAAACCTTTTCAATATGACCTCACATTTATTATTTTAATTATATTATGGCCGACGAAAGAAAACTAAACAGTGCAATGTCGACTAATTAGGTAATACCTTAGTCGTCCGTGACCACGAAAGCTGTAAAGTATTCGATACATTCTAAATAACAAGCTTGAGGTTAAGCGGTAAAATTAATTTAAATTATGTCCACAAAAACCAAAGAAAATCCATAATGCAGATTACTTTTTTTATCATTTAGATTGAATTTGTTGTCGGCAGCGCCGTTATACATTAAGTTCTAAGTATAAATCTACTAATCCACGTAAATATTTCAGACATTCTATTTTTTTTATTGCTTAGATGGGTGGACGAGCTCACAGCCCACTTGATGTTAAGTGGTTACTGGAGGCCATAGACATCTACAACGTAAATGCGCCATCCACCTTGAGATATAAGTTCTAAGGTCTCAGTATAGTTACAACAGCTACCCCACCCTTCAAACAGAAACGCATTACTGCTTCACGGTAGAAATAGGCGGGGTGGTGGTACCTACCCGGGAGAACTCACAACAGGTCCTCCCACCAGTAAAATTCTAGCTCTAGCTCTCTTGAAATGAAATTTTTTCGCCAAACCTATTAATAATATGCAAAACCTTAAAAGATTAGGTGACATTTTGAAGAAAATAATTGTGACAGTAAAATTGTAGTTAAAACATCTTGGAGTAGTGCGATAGTGTACACACTAGACGACTCACAACTAAAAATAAGTAAGATAAGTTTGAAAACAATACGGTATCATAGCTCAGAATATTATTTATTGATAAATCAGCTAGCAGACTTTATAGCAGACTTTTTCGTTATATCAGAATAGTCTTGAATGCTTTGTATTTTTCAGTACAAAGTTGTCTCTTCAATGCAATCATTTATATTTACATTAGGTCTTATTGGATCACTTATGAACTCGCCTGTCCTAATCTAAGCAAAATTGCTTTGAAATTATTGTATTACTAGTAGTACATTGTCTAGAATTCTTTAACTAGCGATTTTAAAAGCTACTTTAAAATTAGCAAACTTTAAATGCATAGAAAGTCTGTTTAGAAACATGTGCTAGAGTTGTATACATTTTTTTTTTGGTTTTACAGTATAAGGGAAAGAAGCATCTTCATTTAATCTATGCAAAAAAAATTTGGAACTTTAGTTTTCTCTAGATGGTAGACAAGTTCTCCTGATATTATGTTTCAGGAACATTCAACTATTTCATGAATAAAGTAAATGATTTTAAGTGAAATTTAAGCACATATGGTTACAAGTCCATAAACTAGAATCATTTCAACTAAACATTTAGCATTTCTAATAGGTTGTTCATATTAGGGTTGATCTACATTCTTTGATCAACAATTACACAGTGACATAAATGAGTTACACCCATTTGTTGAAACAATTCCCGCTACTCCTATCATATAACATTGTTACTGTAGTAAAATTCTTGGAAATGCTAACAACTCTACAAAGTTACATTTCAATGAAGTGAATCATACACAAATGGACAGAACTGTTTTTTAAATATTTGTTCCGAGGAAATGGGGATATGATCCTGTTGAGACCTAGCTACTCTTATTAAATCATCTTAGGTCCTTCATAGTAGTATTACAATTCTTTCAATTAGCTTAATATTTTAAAATTGAGGTAGTAGCTCGGTAGGCCTTGCTCAGACCATCCTATATATACTTGCTATGAAGCATTTATGCATTACAGTTTGAAGAGTTGGAAAGCATTTTTACATTATCACTGATACATTCCACCCAAGTCTTGAAGTGAACTTATGTACACTGGGTTGTCTATGGATTCTAGTCCTAGCAGATCCTGAGCATGTTTGCCCGGCTAATGAAATTAGAATAAGTAATGGAAACTAAAATGTGCTGTGGTGCAAAAATAAGGAAAACAATAATTCAAATAACATTTGAACTATCTAATGTCTAACAAATGTAAGCGATACAGAAAATAATTAATTACTGTTTCTATTTAAACATACCTCTTCTAAATCATCAGGGCACAAAAAACGTAATTGTACATCTTTTAGAGAGCATTTCTTGTCTTTAGACTTCTCAATTATAACTTGGAAGCCTTCAGACAGATACCTGCAATGAAATAAAAATAGTACAAATGTTGAAATCGAGTGTAAACTGAAAAATAAATTTAAATGAATATTAGTTTAATAATCAGTTAGTGATTAATTTTACCTTCAAGGATGAGGTCTGTTTTTGAACTTATTAACAAGTTAATCATATTTCAACCTTGTCCAAATTGAAAAGTGAATGTTTATTTAATATAAAAATTAATTTTTAGGTATATTAGAACCAATCGAACTATTTTTATTAATTTTATACTTTCTAAAAGGATATCCTTACATGCAACAGTTTATTAGACACATTTCCTAATGCATCTAAATGATCTTCAATTTTATTAGTTGTTTCATTCAACAATCAGACAGAGTAGTTTGACCCTTCAATTGGACAATTTTCTCCAATTGAAGCTCAATAAGACAATACATACATACAAACAACGATCTATGGGAATATCTATATTCAAAATTTTTTGATTTGGAACATACCAGCTAAACCCAGCCATTCGGTATTGAGTCCATCAATTCCGTTAACACATTAGTTTCACAGTGTTTTTCTTATCATTTCCAAATTTTTCTTGTAGTGCAATAAGAACTCCATAGAATCACAATCGCACATCATCCGAACAACATACAAACTGAACTCTGAAGGGATGATAACAGAGTTCTTTGAAAATGTAGGTAATACCAATACAGACTCTATCACTCAGTTTATCTGCTGTCACAAGTGTCACTGTCAAAACAACAGAGCCAGTTACCAGCTATAAGAAATTATTTGTGAAAAAATAGCTGTGTAGGTACTAATATTTTTAATATACAATTTTTTTAACTAAAAACTCGTTGAGCAGCGTTGTTATTTTTGAAAGTCTGAAGTTTTCATTATTATTGTGCATATTTTTTGTTCGTACAATTTATGGGCTAAACTTTCCTATATGGTCCGTCGATTTTTGGGTCGGAGGGAAGGGGGCAAGGGCTTACCTCCAGCACCATCCTCACCCCACGGAACCCCATGGTTATGAATATATCCATGGTTAATGTTTTGAGGTTGGAATAGCACTATTTAGTCAATATAAGGTTAAAATTTCAATTATGGTCCATCAATTTTTAAGTCAAGGAGGAAGGGGTGTAAGGGCTTACCTCCTGCACCATCACCAACCCCCAGATCCCCATGCTTATTAGCATTCAGATTTTGTTCGGAATATGACAAAATTTTTTAGAAGACTATAAAAATCAAATTAGTGACATTAGTCAATGTGCATTTTAAAAAGTTTAAAAGAAAAGGATAGCTATAATGATGAATAGCTATTTTTACAGTTTGATATCAGTATAGTGTACGTTTGGTGGCACAAATGGTAGCACAATTTTAAAATATAGTTTAATTCTACTTATAGTTTAAAATTTTAAAAGAAAATAGTTTAAAATTTCCACGCACAAAAAGTCAATAACTGCTAATTTTGTTACTCTCAGAATTCTTTGTAACACTGGAGAGCTGTACTGAATTGTCAAAATTTTGGTTTGTTTGCCCGTTTGAATAGGCAAAGAGTTCATAGCCAACACAGTCACCTTTTTGCCAATACAGTCAAACGTCAGTGGATGAGACCGTGTTTTTAAACAAAATCTAAAATGAAACGAATTTAAAGTGAAATGAGGAATTAAGAAATGAATTCCAAATATCAATGAAATTTAAAAAAAGGTTTTCTCTGTAATACGTCATGACAATTTCACTATAGTTTAATTGTCGTGAATTTGACTCATCCAGGAAAATTTAAATAATGCAATAATTGATAAGCTTGTCTGTACTAGTATGTCTGTCTTTATATATTAAAAAAAGTGTGTAGAGTTGAAGTTACAAAACAGCCTAACTACAAAAAAACAATTTACCTACTTCATGAAGGAAAGTGAAAATGCTATTTTTCAAATCAGTTTAAATTTGATAAACGTAATGTTTTTTTTTTTGGATCAATAGCAAGATATGTATTTGTTCTAAGTTTCGTAATTTACAAAGTTTGAAAATGTTACAAAGAAGGTATATTTTTTTAATTTCAAAAGTATGCCTTGTAGAGATTACATGTAATTATTGAGCTTTCTGGAACTAAGGTACAATCTCAGTTACTCGCCAGCAGACCACAAACCACGTGTTTTTTCCATAAAGTAAATTAAATCAACCGCAAGGGACAGTGACGTCCGCGTCGCGGCATCACATGCCTTTTTTAAGTATTTTTAGATTCGTTTGTTTCCGTTAGGCTTGGAATCATACATTTATCATACAACCCTATGCATAGTATATAGGCATTTCTGTACATCTGTGCATATTTTAATAAGCAATTTATAATATGAATATAATTCTGAGACTTGAAGAAAATATATTTTTTTATCAAAGGCACCCGGATTTCTGGGTTACAAGATCGTAAGTGTTCGCAGTAATATCAGGGTCGCACAGTCAGTCAACACACTCCCTACCACTAATGAATTTCTTAAGCCAGGCTTGCAGGAAGATCGATAGTAGTTTATTTCAGTAATGGATGGTACATGGCAAAGATGATCTCTTAAAAGGCACTATGGATGAACGGTTACATGTAGTAGGGACGGCGTCCTGTTGCTATGGTTAGAGAAGATGAAGGAATAATCTAAAATAGGCCCTTATTTTAAGACTATCGTTAATTTCTATTTCAATGAAAACATTAAAATCATCATGCTATGAAGTTTTTTTTTGTTTGGTCAGGAGGAAATCGCCGTACTTCCGCCCTCCACTGGGGACGGCGGGCGGAGCATGTCGGAGTCGAACCGACTAAAACCTCCTGTCGCTCAACAACAAACGTCCAAACCTCACATGAGACAGAGCTCATGAAAAGGCAAAAGGGGGAAAGTGAAGTGATGCTATGAAGTAACAAAATTATTATATTAACATTCACCGGCTAAACTTAATTTTACGAGTAACTATGCGTGTAGAAATTAAGAGCTACTTATAAAAATCACGTGTGTGATTTTTTGTCTCTTAAGTGTCAAACTAGGCGGTTAATCTTTCCTTTATGGACCATCGATTTATGGGGCGGTGAGGGGGTGGGGGAGGGAGGGGTTAAAGGCTTACCCCCTGTACCATCCCCACCCCGCAGAGCCCCATGGTTTGGACATATCCATGGTTAATGTTTTTGGTTAGAATAGCACTATTTAGTCAAACTCGTAGGGATCTTCTCTCTCCTCCCCCAGTTTGAGTCTGTCTTATCGCCGGCGCTGCGCGAATAGCGGCCCTTCGGTCTTTGCATGCCGAAGCACGGTCACTCATGTTCCGTTCCAGCGGGCGAGGATTGCTGTCCCTCCGTGCTTCCGGTTTTTTATATACACTCTAGGGGTAGGGCAAAGTGAGTTGCTCTGATTCGGTTTTCGATATTTTTCGGATATTCTTGCAATTTTATTACTAAAACACGAGCAATTTTACTATTGTTATGTTTAACCTAATATAAATAGATATTTTATTAGAGCCAATTGTCTCTAATAAAATATCTATTTAAAACTAAAAACGCTATAAAAAATTGCGTCATTTCACGTCCCATTCCACAATGTTAACAAATATTCGTTAAGTTTTGTGTAACAAAGTCAATATATTTGCATAATACAGCAACAATTGCTGTGCACATTAATTACACCAAATGTATTATGTGAATATATTAAAATATTAAATATATTTAGGTAAATCACATGACATCAAATTGAATAAAATACGCCTCTACCGTGAATGGAACGTGAACCGTCAACTTTGACGTCTATCTTCGCCATTTTCCCAATTAGTAAGAAAAATTTAAAAAAATATATCTCGTAAGCCGTGAGTTTCTGCAACTTGAAACCTGGCACTTAAAAGAACCGTTAGCAGATAGGGAGGATCCGAAATGACGTGTTTAGGGCGACGTCGACTGTTCGGCTCGCAGGATCGGGACTGTAGTTACCGGCGGCCACAATGAGAAGGTTCTCGTGTCGTGTTGAAATTTCCGAAATGGCGCACTGATACTGACTGTAGATACATAATGATGGACTCTAGGCCCATTTGGTGTGGAGGTCCACATTTCTGGGGCTCCGGCAGCTATCCTGCAAAAACGGGATTGTATTATTTGAAGAGGTTTCAAGTTTGTGCGGGCCGCGTGTGAGAACACTACACTTGCATAGGTCATGACCGGATGTACCTATACAAGTTTTTTAGAGTGTCACCTTATTTCTAAGGGACAATTTACTTCGCTTGCAAATCATAGGATAGAAGAAGCTTTCTGTTAATGAGTACTATTTACAAAAAAATATGAACTTTTAAATCGACGGACCATAAAGGAAAGTTGAATAGGCAATCGCTTAATTAACAAATCGACTGTGTTATAGCTTAGAATAGCACCACCCCATCTTCTCGTGATGGTGTCGTAAAGCCGGCTAATGTATTGCCGGAGAACAGCGGGAGCGTTACTTGAGCTTGCTGCGATCACCAACTCACATTCCTGCCACGAAACTATAATATATTCCTTTTAATAAAACATAACGTACATACATTATATAACACAATTGAACACGTTTGTATGACACAGACAAAGTTTGATAAAGTTTGGTAGGTAGACGAGCATACGGCCCACCTGATGGTGAGTGGTTACCGTCGTCCACGGACTTCAGCAATGCCAGGAGCAGAGCCAAGCCGCTGCTTACCATTAAGTACTCTCCACAAGCCTCGTTTGAAGGAGGATATGTCAAAGCGCTCGGTAAACACCGTGGAGGGGAGCTCATTCCAAAGCTGGATGGTACGTAGCAAAAAAGATATCTGGAAGCGCACTGTGGATGATCGTAGTGGTTCCAGGTAGCATGGATGAACTCTACTCCGGTGGCGGGCGGTGCGATGGTAAAAACGAGATGAAGGTATCATCTCAAGCAATTCCTCAGAGCACTCACAATAGAAAATTAAACATGATATAAACGTGATTACCGTTCTCGTCGAACTCGTCAATTACTACGAAGAGTGCGAACTAGCCCATAGACACAACCCACTGAGTTTCTCGACGGAAATTCTCATATTATAATCGCGGTCGCATAAGTAACCCGCTGATCGATGGTACGGGCCTAAGCCAAATGATCATCAACAGGACTTGGTATTGTATTTGTTGAGTGTTCGTTTCCGTTACTTGAGACGGTACTGTTACTGTTAAATTATGAACGTATTTTTTTGATGTTCATCATAATTAATTGAGATTTCGACTTAATATTTGAAGACAATACAAGACGGGCCGTGAGCTCGTCTGCCCATATAAAGTAATAAAAATAATCCACTAAAATGACATGAATCAATGCGATCACTCCACACATGTCCGAGAGATGTGATATACTGCCATAAGCCTATAGTCGTATTTCTGTACGATGTTTCCCAGAGCCCGTATCGTCTTTCCACTGACGCCACGGCGTGGAGACTGTTCACACGAGCTGTCGTTCGAGAGAAATCAAGGGACTTGATGCTCCACTTGAACCTTTCTCGGGTAGCTTATTGACGTTGATAACGCAATTGTAAATAGATAGCCTTTGCTTTGCTTGTCAAATCACTAAAATATAGACAGAAAGATTGTGCAAAGGTATTTGACCTGTCTGAAATATACCTAATACTTTAGTGTGTGAGTTGAGATACCACTTATTAATAATTAATCTATAAGTTTTATTCCCCTAAAAGTCTAAAGGAAAGCCCGACGTGCCCGTATCAAACGATGCAACTGTATTGGTGTTCGAATCCTGAAAGAAGCTATTTTACAGTTTAAAAAAAAAAAAATGGCGGTGTTCCATTTATGATGTCGATGAGCTCAAGTAAACAATTTAAACCACTTGGGCCGTGAGTTCGTTCGCTTATTTATATAATATTAATAATAGTGGTTGGTACTGGGTAAGAAATATCCACGTTAACCATTGAAGTTAAAAATTTTACACACACTCGCTCATTGTCAGAAGAACGTTAGTGATGTCAAAAATATACTCAATCTAATTAACTGCCAGCTCTGCTCAAATTCAAGATTGTAGTTCTTAGTGTTGTCAAGTACAAGAAAAACCTCTCAACCGACTGTAATGATCCGTGAAAAAAAGAAGAGAGCTCAAAATTAAGCATGTTCCATACGTCCCGGTAATTAATATCTCATGCGTTCAGAAAAACTGCGTCAAAGTATTCGATATCATAACGTCAGTCAGAAGAGCTACAGAGCTATGTGTAACGCGATCTGCCGCCAGGCGCACGTGCCTGCTTCATTTGCACTCAATCTTAATATTGCAGCTCCTATGCATCATTTCATATTCACAACAGTTTATTTACTTTTTTGTCCATCAATCTTCTTACTGCTAATTTGTTGACGTTTTTTAAATATACGGTGTTTGTCTTGTCGCTAGAACATCTGTAATAGTTTATTTTTTACAGATGATTTAAGATCAACATTTAAACTAATCAAAATGAAATGATGATAATTATAATTAAATATATCCCATTTTATTTCATTTTCTTGATTTCATACAATTCGTGAATAATATTATAAATACAATGTTTTTGAGCAAATATTACGTAAAACCTTAAGATAATTAAAATTTATTAGCAACTATAGATTTCATGGTTTAATATTCCGTAAACTAAATTAGATTCACGAGTTTCAGATTAATTTTATTATTAAAAAAACACTTACTTGTGTGTGACCTTAATTCGACACATTTATTACCAGCAAGAAATATCATAATAAGTATTTGTATTGTATGAGTATCGTAATCAGTAATGGTAAATATATTAATCGGGTTCATTAGCGGCGGTCGCGAAAATGTGAGAGCGATAAGATAGGGGTAGGAACAAGGGAGGCTTTGTATAGTAGCGGGCGTGACCCGGGACTTCGCCGGAAACCCAGCCGCTGTAGGTCGGTAATCTTCGCAGACATCTGACGAATGCATATTACAAACGTATGTAGAGCGGATTGCTGGAAATTTTAATTATAATTTAATGATACAAAGCAATTTATTTTAATGTTGCCTTGTCAAAAACATTTTATTTAATTATTGTTTTGAAGATTTTCGATAGTTGTGGATACGATAGATGCTTTCGTTGTTTTATTATTCACTATATCTTTCCCAACTTCGTTCAAAGGACGCATACTTTTTAATTAACCAACGAATCGTGAAATGTTTTTAATCGCGTGATACTTTTTGTAAATTTCTGACAAAAACTGGTCGGAGCTCCTTATTACACACAGGTCACCAACAGCAGCTTTATACTACTATCTACTCATTGGTTTTGAAATAATAGTAGCCTTTTCTTGTTTACTAACTATACATACAAGAATAAAATCTTAAGTGACAATACCTTTTAACTATGTATTATTTGTTAGTCGACCTTCTAGCTTATTTGATAGAATAATTTTATTTATCCTCTTACCTTGTGAAACACGTTTGTTTTGCGGGATCGGGGCTTCCAGAGCGGGAGATTGCTAAGGCTTTAATAAACTTTTATAAGAACTTTGGTTATAGTTTTAATCCTTTACAAAAAATTACCGGTTAAAAACCTGTCTAAAATTTGGTCAGTTAAAATAATTCACGTGGCATCAATTTATATGTTCCCGCCAAAAAAATTTAAATGTTGTCAGTAGAAATGTTTGGTCAGATCATTTGTAATATTCTTATTTTCAATTTGTTGAAATTGTTTTATAATTTAATATGTGTAATCCTTGTTAACTTATTATGATATTATAGATGGTAAGTAAAGTGTGCAAGAAGATACTATTATATATCATGAATTACTTAAAGTTTCTAATTTTTTGCCACTCTTGAAACAAGTATTTTATGCTTTTTAAAAAGAATGGGCTAGACTGATTTGTTAACGTGGACTTGAAACAGGCAAATTTTAAATGAAACACTTTTTTTTGTGTAATGGCATATAAGTCACTTATAATTCTAAATAATCACAACAATTAAAAACTAGGAAACTAAAAACAAGTTACAACAAAAAAATATTTCACTCGATGATGGCGAGAAAACTGTACTTACATAGATCAGATAGTTCATTAACATTTCATTCAGTACGAAGTCTTGAATTTTAAAAATGATTACAATTAAATCTACGTAATAACTTTGGAAACTGAGAAATATGAATCTCAAAAATATATTAATAGATCTTGATTGCGTTACTTAATTAAAAATAATTTTAAAATAAAACATACAAACGGACCTTCTTATAAAGCATTTTGAAGATAATAATTACCTACTGTATCTTAGCACTGTGCGTATTAATGTTTTTTTTTTTTTATTGCTTAGATGGGTAGACGAGCTCACAGCCCACCTGGTGTTAAGTGGTTACTGGAGCCCATAGACATCTACAACGTAGACGCGCCACCCACCTTGAGATATAAGTTCTAAAGTCTCAGTGTTGTTACAGCGGCTGCCCCACCCTTCAAACCGAAACGCATTACTGCTTCACGGCAGAAATAGGCAGGGCGGTGGTACCTATCCGCGCGGACTCACAAGTGGTCCTACCACCAGTAATAAGTAATTCCTCAGTGCCAAGCGTAATGTTGATTCAAAATATTTGTAGCGTCGTTTAGAAGTCACGAATCGCACAAAAACTTCGTATTATTATTACACTCGAAATGATAATTCATTGCAAGTCCCGTATGTTTATTTAGTACTAGATTAAACGCACGTGCGCGCGAAGGAACCGTATGGCGAAATAGATCTACTTATATTATATACAGCTTACGTGACCTATTTTACAACTTAACAAAAAGTCTTGGACGGGCTTGATATAGTTTATCAGCCCACAATATTCGCGGATATTATCACCGTTTACTGATCGAGTTCCGATGATTGAATTTACTAAAAGGCTTAGGGGTGATCAACGTAATGTGGGCAATCAATACAGGGCGGGTGGAGATGGGACGGTACCGGACCGTATAGAGGTGGCGGTACGTGGTGCGTTAGTGTATGCGTTCCGTATCGAGGTTGTAGCTCGTGGTAATTTGGCACCGGTCTGGGCTCGAGGTACTGGTCTAATTCGGTACCGTCCGGTGGGCCGTCCATTAGTAAAGCAGCGGATATTTCCGGCATGCCCGAGAAATCTATGTGGTTTCGATCAGGAGATGATTCCCGTTTGACTCTCGGGGTTGAAGCTGAAGCTAGCGGTNGCGTTAGTGTATGCGTTCCGTATCGAGGTTGTAGCTCGTGGTAATTTGGCACCGGTCTGGGCTCGAGGTACTGGTCTAATTCGGTACCGTCCGGTGGGCCGTCCATTAGTAAAGCAGCGGATATTTCCGGCATGCCCGAGAAATCTATGTGGTTTCGATCAGGAGATGATTCCCGTTTGACTCTCGGGGTTGAAGCTGAAGCTAGCGGCGGCTTCCGACGTCGAGGCTGGTATTTGTAATCCGGGTGCTGTTTTTTATGTTGCGTTCGTAACTTATCTGCTTCTTTAATGAAAGGCAGCTTCTCCTCGTCGCTTAAATTTCTGCGAACAAAAAATTGATGCTTAGCTAAATATAAAACATTAAAATAAGTTATAAAAACATTAAAATGCAAAGTCATTTCTTGGTTTGTGAATCCAATGATATTATATTATATAAAATGGAGCGGCGCGGCGTCGGCGTCTCGACTGATAGTATCGGCGTGTCTATATTCCAGATGCTGTCTAATATTCCGTCGGCTTTGTTCGAATGTAGCTCTCCGTGATTAGACTTAAAATAAACACATGTCGAATAAAATGCGACATTCAAGTTTATTAAAAATGTCACACTGACACTATATTCTGCCTATACTAATTTCAAAGATCATGTAGAGTTTATAGATTGTTTTCTCTAAGCCTTTAATTGCTATAGTAAGGAAAACGACCTCAACGCCAACTGCCGAATTTTGTTAGCCGACTTCAATGAGGAGATACTCAATTCGATTGTATTTTTTTGTTTTATGTTACCCAGTACTTTTTTCTAGGTCAACTGATTTTGATGATCCCTTTTTTACTTAAAACTAGTGCCTCTCATGTAGTCCCATTTATAGAGTTCTGACCAATCGTTTTAGAGCTGTCCCCAATATGGTTTATTTAATTTGTCTACATTGATCATATCTATTTCGTAGGAGTCGGTGTTCTTAATAATTGGTAAACTAGTAAATGTCATAGTAGTCATCATCATCCATTTCAATAACAATATAAAATGTTAGTGAGAAAACGAAATCACAGCTTATTGCACTTGAAGTCCTAACCAGTGAAGTTGCAGATTCTTGATACGGGCAACTTTGGACTCAAATATTTACGAACTACTACAAGCTTTTAGCTGCACGATTTTTTGTCAACCTACGGGTGGTCCCTGACAGCAGGTTCTGTATACGAACTAGATAAACTACCTTTTTTTTTAGAGCAAAGTATGTTTTTGATTCAAACCTCTAAATGCGATTCTGTCCTACTATGGACGCTAAAAGAAATTAAAAGTCGATTTCTATTATCTTGCGAATTTAACGTACAATTTTCTATTTGAGAGAGCCGAAACAGTTACGAGATGTTATCGCGGCAGTTAGCGGCGATAGCATTTTAATGAGTAAACAATCGATGCACGCAGCGCTGCATGACGCCGCACGCGCCTCCCACGGTCTCCGCCACGACCAAGTCTAAAGAAATACATGCATTTCACTCTGTAACTATACTTCGCAGATCACTTCGAAACTACGAGTCGTTATTTTGCAACCAATTCGAACCCACATTCGCCTCAAATCTGCAACTGCGTCATAACGGTATGTTATTATCAATGTCACAACTGATCTACCTATTGAAACAATAAAAACAATGGGGACGGAAACGGAGATGGAGAAACAACTTTTTTTTTTTCAAATTTAAATTTTTTCTGTTGGTAGGACCTCTTGTGAGTCCACGCGGATAGGTACCACCACCCTGCCTATTTCTGCCGTGAAGCAGTAATGCGTTTCGGTTTGAAGGGTAGGGCAGCCGTTGTAACTATAGGTATACTTAAGACTATAGAACTTATATCTCAAGGTGGGTGGCGCATTTACGTTGTAGATGTCTATGGGCTCCAGTAACCACTTAACACCAGGTGAACCTTAACACCAGCTCGTCCACCCATCTAAACAATTTTTTTTCTTTTTTATCATATTTACAACAAATCACGAGCCAGCCATTTTGAGGTTGGCAATTTATTAATTTCACTGAAGTATGATATTTATAATGTATTTATATCGTAGCGGTTATGTCATTGTTTTCGATATGACAAGTGGCGTAAAACCCAGACTTGGTTCTCTAGTGACAGCCAGTAAGTCAGTAAGTATTAACTATAGTTCGTTGACACAATTAATTCAACGCTGACAAACACCAGAGACACGAAGACAAAGTCTCGGACACATTTTGATGTCTTGTTTACTACAATTACTATGTAGTCGTCAAACAATTAATTCAAGTTTGATGTCCGAATAATGACGCAGGTTACTATCATTAGCAAAAAGAGGTTCACTGTTGAATGTAGGTGTCTTCCTAAATTCACCACAATCCTACGCTGCTCGCACCTACCCGCTTCCAGGTAAAGCGTTTTATAGGTAGGTAGGTATTCATCATCGCTATTCAACCAAAGTTTCTATACCAATAACATTATAAACAACGAAATCCCTAATTGTAAACATGTTCTAGAATATTTTTTTTTTTCTTTTTGAGTGCCAGGATCTTGCTAGAAGTATGTTTGTGAACAAAACAAATAAAGAAATGGAAAAGGGGGTTATCAGCCCCAAACTTAAAAAAGCAGCCGGAAGAAATGCAGGAACTACAGAAGAACAGCTTTATTACCCACAGCGTACAAAAACCCACGGTTCCCCTCGTTTTACTAATAGAGCCATATTCAGACACAATCGCTGGTGATTATCAGTTTGGCTTTAAACGTAGCACAGTCGTCCTAATATTTACTCTGAAAAAAATAATACAAAAAGATGGGGGGGGGGGGGGTATGCACACAGCATACATTGGGTCTTTGTAGATTTTGCTAAGGCCTACGACGGCATAGATAGACTGACACCATATGGAATCCTAACCAGCTTTATCGCTTAGAAGCTAGGATTCAAGGATACGATGTCCCGACCGAGTATACGCGACTAGTGACCTCGCGGAACATACAATAAACAATTGTAATACGCAACGAAAGACTGTAGCGTCCGCAGCGTCGCTGTAAGTATCTCAGACCAATAAAGTAGCAACCCTAAAGTCCATTAACTTTTTATCATTAGCCTTTTTTTATTTATTGCTTAGATGGGTAGACGAGCTCACAGCCCACCTGGTGTTAAGCGGTTACTGGAACCCATAGACATCTACAACGTAAATGCGCCACCCACCTTGAGTATAAGTTCTAAGGTCTCAAGTATAGTTACAACGTCTGCCGCACCCTTCAAACCATAACGCATTACTGCTTCACGGCAGAAATAGGCAGGGTTGTGGTACCTTCCCACGAGGAGTCACAAGAGGTCTTACCACCAGTGATTACGCAAATTGTAATTTTGCGGGCTTGATCTTTATTACACGATGTTATTCCTTCACCGTGGAAGTCAATCGTGAACATTTGTTGAGTACGTATTTCATTTGAAAAATTGGTACCCGCCTGGGATTCCGCTCAACACGAAATCACCGGACGTCTTATCCTTTAGGCCATGACGACTATCATTAGCCTTTATTAGTATCTATCGAAGCAGTAACATTATTATTTAACAGTTGAATTTACTTACTTCCACATGGATCCTAATGATTTGCTGAGTTCGGCGTTGTGCAGGGAGGGTCGTTCGGCCGATAAACGGCGGCGCATCGCTTGCGCGAACACCATGAATGCATTCATCGGTCTCTTGACGTGTGGACGACGCATACACCCACCACCTCTGCAATACAAAGCAATTTTTTTTATATCCTACTAGCTGACCCGGCAGACTTCGTAGTGCCTCAATCGATAAATAAAATACCTAAACTTTTGTATAAAATAAACTTAAAACAAACAAAAGGAATCCGTCCGACGGGGGACACATCAAAGGAAAAACAAAATTGTTATTTTTATTTAATTCCGAGCATTTTCATATTTATCTACCTTTTAAAACTTCTCTGGACCTCCACAAATAATTCAAGACCAAAATTAGCAAAATTGGTCCAGCCGTTCTCGAGTTTTAACGAGACTAACGAACACCAATTCATTTTTATTTAAATAGATTTGATTTGTAAAGTAATCAAGGAAAACTTAATACGTCTCAAACCAGCAACGGCCATGTCATGGTCATTGTTTAAATTTGCCGAGTATTACGGCTTCCATTGTTTAATTAGGTATAGCTCTATAAACAGTCAGATTTCGGTGCCAAAACCAAAGTAATACTCCTGCCACATAAATATTATGAAATACGCACTTGAAATAATCGCGTTCCGGAACTACTCAAATTGGTTTAGCTTTCGGCGTGCGCTCGATAATTACCGGGTAACCGAAGCCATCGAGCGACCGATATAAAGAAAACAAATTACCAGTCACCCTTTATGTGCAGCGCACTACTAAGCATTGGTGCACGTAAAATTTGTAAACAAGTCAAAGTGGCGCGGTCCTCGTCATTTTACGCTCGTAAACATCTCTTATTTTATTACTTTTTTATTTTCTAATGCCGCGTTCGGGTTTCCTCGCGATCTGAACGCTGACAATAAATTATGTTTTTTTCTTTAAACACTGACACGGCACTAAAAGTCGATCGATTTCTAACGGATTACTCTCGGGAAGCAATACGAGGAGAAATAATCACCTATGGTTCGGCGAACTTGAGGCGGTTTCCTTGTTTATTAGTTCGAACGAATTCTTGTAACGTTTCAACTATATCTATACAACTAACGTAGTACGTTACTATCGTAAAAATTTAGATTGAATCGTCGTTTTTATAGTCATGTTTAATTTTGTAATAATGTACAAATCATATTGTGTATGTGTGTGTGTGCTATGTAGTTATTGTTACAGAGATGCGGACCTACCACACAGAGTCATCTGGTTAGTAACATCTCGCCTTCTGACAATCCCTGATAGTACTCGTAGTTACTAATTTAATTGCTACACTTAACTGTGTACTTGTTAGCTGCGCAGAGATTTATAACTGTTATTGTAATGTTAAATTTAATCAGAATTGATGACTAGTTATAAAAGTACTGTTCCAATATATGTAATTTTGGTGTTTAGGTATATTCATAGCACATCATCATTAAATTGTGGACGTTTACGCGGTATTATGACTTTAAATATAATTTCTTGAAATCTAAGTTGTAATCGAATAGACAAAAAAAAAATCGAAAGGTTTGCTATGAATTTCTATACTTTTTTTTTAAATTATCTTCATTGTCCCATGAAAATGACAAAAGAATAACAAAACGCAATTACAAGTTTCGAAAAACTTCATTACATCCTCCATACATATACAGAGTGTGACAAAAAAGTTTTATAGTCGTACGCTTAATGATTTACAGCCGTAGTTCATGATCGTCTGCAGAGCACCATACATCCACTCAAGTATGTTCATTATTATAAATATATATTATGTTGGTGTAGGTAGGTGATTTCGTTTTTGTATTAACTAATAGAGCAGTATTGTTTACAAGTGCCACAAGTACCTACTACGAAAACGTGACGGCGCGTTTTAATGTTCCTATTTATTTTGTAAACAGTACCTAATTGAAAAAAAAATCGTTGTTTCCCTCTGTCTGTTTCTCCGCTTACTTCTTCGAAACTATGCAACCAATTTTGAGACCGTTTTCGCTAATAGCAAGAGCGGTAAACGAGGAAGGTTTTGCGTTTACAATTTGTAGAAATTTTGAATAAAATGGCTGACCTATGACGGTGTTATGTCAAAATAATGCTGGTCAATTCAAGAGAGAGAGAGAGATTAGTACATGCGCCCGAAACTGCCCACGAAAGCTACTTTTAAATTACTTTTGGATGGACACACTCTTGGTATAACATTTAAATGTTTATTAAGAAAGTTGATCGGGAGTTAGTTTATTCAAGTATAGGTATAAGAAGTAACGACCGGAATTGGTTCCGATACACCCTACATTCTTATTTAGTTATCATATTGTATGAGTACCTAATATGTGCACTAAGATACACTAAGAACTAATTAAATCGATCAAGTGTGTTTCTAACCAATTCTTATCACTTTGATGAACAGGCAAGCTCACGATAAACGGGTTACCTTGAGACAAAAATTTCTGCAGTTTTTTTTTTAAACTATAATATCCAGACACGCTTCCCTTTTACTATCGTTATCGTTTTGTTATTGTTCAAAAATTGTAAAACTAATTCATGGCTCACCTTAAGGACTATTCAAAGCCTATAAATCTATGAAATACGTGTGAACTCAGGCGTACGTTCATGATACAAAAAAAAAAAATCCGAACGGCGAACAATGATTGTACCGAGTTGAATGACGATCGAAAAAATTATTTAGGAAGCCTTAGAGGACAAATATACAAAGAAACCTTCATTTATAGGTCTAACTTGACCAGTGCACTAAACTTTTAGTATTTTCGATCGATAGGAGCAATAATGTAAGACATTAAATTAATTTATCTGGTTCAATAAATTACTAAACGTCACTAAAACAACGATTAGTAAAAAAATATTTTCTTTTGGTCACATAGATTTGATATATATGTACTGTTTGTCTACAATATACACGTGTCAAATATTTTGTAAGTTATTGTTTTATGTAATACAGCATACCGGAATAGTTTCAAACTACTTTTTAACAATGGCTAAGTTTATTCTTTAATCAGTGGCAGTTTAAGGTTCGGTAATTCAAATGTAATAGATGGATGTAAACAAAGATTTTGTTACATGAAACATGACGTCATTATGAACAATTGCGATTTTTTTTTTTCATGTTACAAAACTTTAAGGGGCGTCCCCGGGTTTTGTGAAGCTATGGATATATTTGTTGAAAAAAATAAAAAAATAGTAATATTTTCATAAATTACAATTATCCGTAACTCATCATTGGATTGCATTTTATTACGGTAAACTTCAAAACCTCACAGCGACTTGCAATAGTGACTAGGAGGTATGTTCATCAATAATATTAATATCATATTTAGGTATGTTTACTTGTTACAGTTTGAAATGTCATGTTTGTTTCTTATTGTGTGGCGTGTGTTTTCAAGAATACACCTACACTTGGTTTCGGGTCTACAAAAGTATGTTTTTTATTCTTATAAATGGAGACGATGTTAGATCTGATGCCAAGTGGTCTCTAGTACCCATAGATGGTACGTATGGTGTTATCATAACGTGAATGTCACCTTGAGATGTGAGACCGAAAATCAAATTGTAAAACTGTGTGGACAGTTTGCCTCATATCGGAATGCATGACTTTTTCAATATTTTAATGTTATTTGAGCATTTTATCAACTACTTTTTGAGCTTCTCATTCGCGCCAAAACTGTTAGCGTCACTGCCCTACCACATAAGCTTTTTGTCACATATTTTTCTAACCCACACTATAGCCTATACTAATCTATAAACTGTGCAAGTTTTATTTTTTATTGCACGATGCTATTGCTACTTCTTAGGTTTCGTTTGTGAATTTATATTCGGTATATATTTATAAAAAAAACAGAGTGTCCTTCCTTAAAATTTGAACTCAAACATAGTTCCATAGAAGCAAAGCGTTCGTTATATTCAAACGCAAACGTTATGTCAAACGCTTCTTACGCAATAAGTTTAAAACGTAGCGATAAATGTCCTCGATTTTTACCTAGTCCTAGCAAGGTACATAGTAAACCAGAGCACGTGCTGGAGGCCATTGGCTGAGGAAGTCATAAAGAGATGGTAGCTGTCATCTGTGACGAGCCCGCCCTCGCTATTTCTGCCTTTCAGAGCAGCGCCGACGCAGCCGCCCACAAAATGCTTTACCACAAATTTGCAAACTAAACGGAGTCGTAATTCTATTATTAGTACCACTGGCTTAAAGATATATATGAAAGGAAAATAAATAATTTAATATAATAAATATGTGAAACTTAAGTTTGGATCGAGTCAAACTGAAGCTTCAATTTTTATTATGAATTTGATATTACTGAAGGAATTATGATTATGAATCCGTTTTATCCGTTCTCGGTCCGTTTCCCTAAACTACAAAATAAAATTTTAGATTATCTATGTCACGATGATATGTAACTGGTTGCAAAAAAATTGAAGATAGAGAGGAAAATGAATGAGGAGGTATATGTACTGAGTTTAGAAAATTGTTTTTTTTCTCTTCTTGAGTAAAAAATAGACATTCAAAAATTGACGCGTCAAGTAACTAATTGAAATTTTTAATAACTATAATAGAAATTATGTATTAAGAATTAAAATGCTTATTGTTTGCCAGGATTTCGGATTTATTTCATTTAATACAGTTTTTTTTTTAATTTCTCGTGCTATAAATATTTTCCACAGTCAGTTTTCGCAAAAATAACTCCATAACAACTCGTCAATAATAAGTACTAAGCAAAGTAAAGAAAAAGAAAATCGGTTGACAAAGATGACAACTTGTCATTGCTTATGAGATGTGTGGAAATCACTTAACTCATGAATACTGGTATATAGAATGTCATGCAAATTTGTGTCATGTAATTATGTTAAGTTTAACAGGCGTAGAGCTGTGCACCGCAACAAATATCGCAACGTGAAAGACGTCATCTAAAAAGACACGAATGAAAATCTCGATTACATTGGAATAACCGTTATTATTTATTTCCAACAGGAACTCATGATGCTTCGCGACCGAAATAGATTAGACGGTGGTGTCGACAATTACACTTTCAGTAGTGCTCTGCCACTACGTCATGGAAGCTTCAACGGTGCACCTTCTTTATTAATTGAGTCAAAATTCGAAAATTAATTGTCGTGTCTTTGAATTTATTGGTAGTATTTTTAACAATACTAGTGGTCACCCGGTGGTCGAAATTCGACTATAATTATTTGAAATTATAAGTTTAATCGAAACGGACTCACGGACTTTTTGGCGGGAACGAGAGGTGTGAAGTGTGTGATTTATTTTATTTTGTCTAATTATGATTCTATTTTCAAAGATTATTATACTTCTTTTCGCCAAGACACCACTATAGAAAAATATTAATAAAGGCAAAAAATATTTAATCTATTCTCAATTTGACTACAGACGTCAAGAACAAAAGCTTGACAATAAATAAATAGTATGCATGCGTGTGTGCGTCAAATACATGGTAGTGTGTGTAATGTTTTTTTTATTGATTTATTGTATTTTTTAGGCATCATTTAAAAAAATGTTATTATTCTGCACTCCTTCTCTATATTCTCTATAAGTGTGGGAAATTTCATACTCCACCGTCCGCGCAATTTTCGTAAAAAGGGATACAAAGTTTTTCCTTCACGTATTAATATATAATATTACAATATATAATTTGACCGAAGCCACGTTTTTTTATCGCCTACATGAGTGAACAGCTTCGCGGCCAACATGTAAAGTGATTGCCAGAGTCTTTATAGAACACAACGTAAATGACGTTCCCGTACTTGGGACATGAAGTTAAAGTATTAATTGTATTGTAAAAAAACTATCTCACCACATAAACTGAAACGCTTCGCGGCAAAAATAGGCAACTACTGGTGGTAGGACCTCTTGTGAGTCCGCACGGGTAGGTACCACCACCATTTTGCCCATTTCTGCCGTAAAGCAGTAATGCGTTTCGGTTTGAAGGGTGACTAAGCCGTTGTAACTTTACTGAGACCTTAGAACTTTTATCTCACGGGTGGCGCATTTACGTTGTAGATGTCTAAGGGCTCCAGTAACCACTTAACACCAGGTGAGCTGTGAGTTCGTCCACCCATCTAAACAATAAAAAAAGGCAAGACTGTGGCATCTACCCCGTACGAGAATTACAATGTGGACTACTACCCTAAAACCCATCTAAGCAATGAAAAAAGAGAAATCTTGATTTAGCTGAGAACCACGTATCTTGGATTTTATTCTGAACCGACTTCACCGCTTTGAAGTAATGATACTCTGGTTTCATATTAAAACCATAGCGAATCTAGATTTAAAAACATATAAAAAAACTAGCCGGCGTCTGTGTAGTTGGCGTGTCTGTCTGTCTTGTCTGTCTGTCACCAAATCCTGAAATCTTATAAACATCCTGAAGCTCCGTTATCTTTACAGACAATTTAAGCGCGACCATAAAACAATTAATGACGTCATAAAATGGGCCGGTAGCGGACAGATGACTTTTTAACCGTAATCATTCTGGTACTTGAAGCGAAGGTTGGCCCGATTGTAGCTGACTGGTAATTAAGTCTGATTAGATAATACGACACCTGGCTCTGGTCACCCTGGGAAAATATGTTTCCGATTAGGGTAGTGATATCGTTTGTGCGTTGGAATGGGGAAAATTTTCTCACCGGGTACTTCGATAACAATCACCTGTTCTAAATAAGTTCGATTGTGGATAGAGATAGCATTCCGAATTCCTAAACGAAAATCGTTTTTAATTTTTAGCTTAGGGTATTTTCAATGCGCTCAGGGATACCACAGTTTATACTTAAAAAATTTAAAAAAAATATATTTGAAAATTCAGTATATTGGTGGTGGAACTCATGTCACAAGGTGGATGGCGGCATTTATATTTTTGTTGTCTATGGGCTCCGATGACTACTTCACACCAGATGGCCCCTGAGCTTGTTCAGAAGTATAAGAGTGTGGAAAAAATAAAATCCTTACAATTCTGGAATGGGCAATATTTATGTGAATTTTGAAGTATGATTTAAACTTAAAATCTAAATTAAAGTTAACATATTTCTACTGTCTCCAAAACACTGTAAAACGAGCGAAGGAATTGGAATTATAAAAATTTAAATTAATTAATTTTAAAATTATTTTAATTTTCCCGATTCGCCGCTACCTACTACAACCTAACTGATATTGTGCTGGAATACAGATAGCGTGGAAGCCACTAGTTTGTTTGATCAGCGGTGATTCTGAGAATTAGTCGACAATCGTGCTTACATCCCGGAAATCAAAGAACCGCCTACATTTTATATAATGTTCAGAATTTTCGCAACCATGGTCACATTATATTTCAGTCAAAAGCTTTTCTATGCTCCTCATTGGGTAGATTAGGTTGCCGGAGTTCATAGACAAGTGAACGCTTCTTACAGTTTTTCCTTCGGTTTTGCCGAGTTGTAGCAGTTATCGTCGTACGACTACTGTTAGGGTTCAATCTCAATGTTTTATTTTTATTTTTGCTATATTATTTCCAAAGTTTCGAATACGGTTTTGGTACACGAGTATGGTAATTTTTTTATGAATGAGGGATTACTGGTCGCCCAGAGGCATTTCCAGTTTCACCAGGACAGGTGGGCGAGCAAATACTCAGCCAGGAGTGGTGGTTTGCTAACAGCTGCCCGAGTGCCTCCAAAGGATACCTAACAACTCAAGAGCAACTGCTTCGCGAATTAATCTACTACCAGATCGGAATCACGACTCGCTGAGAAGATCCAGCGAGAAACTCAGCTGGCTGATGCATGGGCACGTCGAAATCTTTGCCGAGTTCGACTAGTAGGGTGACCGGGGTCCCTACTCCTAGTGTTAGAGCAAAAGCGTCTATGGTGTCATTTCGTCAATATTTGAATATTGTGCTCACTGTCGTCTATTTTTCTAATCTTCTCTTTTAAGCTGTAAAAGTAATTTCAATTATGAACATGTCTTATTTATGTATATACGTACACGTCCTATATACTTTACTTTACTCATTGGGAGTATACAATGCAACTAGGTACTTATACCCAAAAAAAGTGAAGTAGTGTTCATTCCATGATCCGAATTCGACCACAATCACTGAACGAAACACTCTTGTTTCAATTTCTGGTACATTACCAAATATACGCCCAGGGCGTCCAGGATAAGAGTTGCGAAAATCGGTTCTAAATGAGCCTACATCAGGATTATAGAATATGATGCATCAAAATTTAGTATTTACGCCTTTTTTTAAAGGTCTTATTTGTTTTTGATTAATTTATGAGTCAGGGTACAACGTTATTTCGTTACGTGACCATCTTCTATTAGTCACCTCCAGCCGCAAGCTGGGTTCAAAAAAAAAAAAGAAAATCGGCTAAAGAGCCGATTAAGTGGTACTTGACTGTTTTGTCTGGCCTATTTTTATATACAGACTAGCTGATCCGGTAGACTTCGTAGTGCCTCAATCGATAAATAAAAGACACATCAAGCGGACACATCAAAGGAAAAACAAAATTGTTTTTTTTTTATATAATTCCGAGCTTTTTTATATTTTCTCACCTTTTAAACCTTCCCTGGACTTCCACGAATAATTATCAAGACCAAAATTAGCCAAATCGGTCCAGCCAATCTCGATTTTTAGCGAGACTAACGAACTGCAATTCATTTTTATATATAGAGATTAACATAGTCTGCAAAATTGCTTCTTAAACAGGTTTTATGCTTTCATTGTGAATATCATTTGTGAACGCATGCTGGTTATGTTTCGTTAACAATCTATGCATTTGTATTTGAGCTATAAATAAATTGTTATGTCTAATATAATACAGTCTTGCAATGTTTTGCTATTATGGATTTTTTTTTCAATTTGGACCAATCGCATTGGAATATTGTCCGAATAAAAAAACGTTACCACGGGTCCTCGAATATTTCACGACCATAAAATTTTACTTAGAAGATTGTCTCGGAAATTCCTAATAACGGAATGTGGGTAATATTAAAATAAGTGAAACTGGTAATTCGACTGAAATAAAACTATCTTCTGACAGTGGAAAAGCCTTACTTAGTTTATTTGAACTTAAAACAAAACCCATTAAATCACTTGACTATGAAATGTTAAGATAATTTGTTAAATAGCATACCAGTATGAAATCCTTGAGTCGCACTGAGTCAGTATCAATTAGTGTGTAATATGTGAAGGGTGGGTGAAGATGCATGGGAACGGCCCGCGCATCTGTGTCCACATTAAACTGATAACGTGTCGTACGCGTTATTTACGTATTTTGGACGTGTTATTGGCGTAACCGCAGTTTTATATGCAAAATTGTTCACCTTAGCATCGTTTTTTTTATTTTATTTGAGACACGGAATCAGCATCTCAGGTGCCTATACCGTTTTTTTTTATTGCTTAGATGGGTGGACGAGCTCACAGCCCACCTGATGTTAAGTGGTTGCTGGAGCCCATAGACATCCACAACGTAAATGCGCCACCCACCTTGAGATATAAGTTCTAAGGTCTCAAGTATAGTTACAACGGCTGCTCCACCCTTCAAACCGAAACGCATTACTGCTTCACGGCAGAAATAGGCAGGATGGTGGTACCTATCCGCATGGACTCACAAGAGGTCCTCCCGCCAGAAAACAGAAACCCACCGTTTTTCAAAAGGAACGAATGTTTCATGGTACAAATAGGTAGTAGTGCCAATCCGTGATTGCTCACAATACACTCTATCAGCGTAATCCATAAGCAATTATTTTAGGGTATCGATTTCAACACGCGTGACGGTTGTTCGTGGTCACGTGTTAAGAGAATGTGTTTACTTTTTTTTAAATAGAGCCCACTGAAGATTTGGAACCAAGGCGTAGTAGCACACGATTACAGCAGGCGTAATCATAATTATATAGTTACGCGTATGATGTATAAACAGACTAGCTAGCTTTTATAATAGTTTTATCTCTGGTTGTGTAATCATTACAATAGCTTAAGAATGAAAATATAAGTATCTTTTTTTAGTATTCACTATGATAGGAGGGTAGTGAACTGTTATAGATGTAGGTGCACGCACATAAAGATCGCTTAAGAAAGTCGAGAATAGCTGGTTTTTGTCTACATAGTGACTTGATTTTAATATTTCTCCATCTAACTTCGACTAGGTAAAACTTTAACCTTAATTCAATTCTCACTGTTTTATTTCTCACTATTAAACCAGTCCTTGGTATTTCTGTTCGTTCGTCACGACCAAAAAATGTTTTTTACCCGATCAACGATGCAGATGAACACTATATATTTATATGTCACTAGCTGACCCGGCAGATTTCGTAGGGCTTCAATCGATAAATAAAAGACCTAACTTTTTGTATAAAATAAACATAAAACAAACAAAAGGAATCCGTCCGACGGGGGACACATCAATGGAACAACAAAATTGTTATTTTTATTTAAGACCGAGCATTTTCATATTTATCTACCTTTTAAAACTTCTCTGGACTTCCACAAATAATTCCAGACCAAAATTAGCCCAATCGGTCCAGCCGTTCTCGAGTTTTAGCGAGACTAACGAACAGCAATTAATTGTTATATATATATAGATTTTCTATCATCAATTGTGGTATTTACACAAAATAATATCGTATCTGATAATATCGTATGCGTTTAAGAATGAATCGCGAAATGAATGGTTGAGCGGTAACGAAGGGCCGACGTTGCGGAGGCCGGTGCTAACCGCGCACATTACCGGGGCCTCGCTAACCGGCGCGGTGCCGGCCAGATTACAACTCTGTCAATATTAGAACACGTTCCCGGAACACTTGCCACTCTCACGGGATAATTATTGAAACGCGCACAATACAAATATGTTATATGAGTCGACTATTATCAAAGCCGGCAATGTGACTTTTGGACAATTATTTGTAAATCAGAAAAACGAATTATTGACTTTGTATTCCATTGGCAGTCACAAAACTCTTCTGAACGACATCTTAGATAAATAACAGGTTAAGTATTAATCTTTATTTAATGCAGGTTTTGAACCGTATTCTTTGAAGGAGACGATTATATTCAAATCAATCTGTATTGACATATCAATAACATTTTTTTGTCCAAATGCACAGATTGCCACCTTTGATAATAGACGACTCATATATGCACTGACTGGCGTTTCGATGAAACGTCTTTCGTCATATCACAAAAACATAATTTTTACAGACGTCGTTCAGTTCTTCAATTGCATCGGTTTTTTTTTCTTGTAGTTCGCTAAGTATGTCATTATTAGGTGTTTCGCTATCAAAACATTATGTTGGCATATTTTTATATACGGTACCTAAATATTTGTAATAATCAACACCACCATACCAACAACCACATACTGGATATAAGAAGTCTTTGTCATCTAAATGGGTCAGGTACCAAGTTTTCTGAGGAGATACGCAATCAACTAGTGTCCCTGAACGGATTCACGAAAGAATAATATCGTGTAATAAAATCAAAGCAGCAAAATTAATTTTGCATAAGTACCTGATTATGGTAGGGCATATCGGATGGGCTGCATGGATAAGTGCCAAGATCTTGCCTATTTCTAGAGTGAAGCAATGATACGTTCTGGTTTGAAGGGCAGGACAGCCGTTACACTATACAATTAAGAATTTTAAGCCCACAGAGTTTCTCGCTGGATCTTCTTAGTGGGTCGCGACTGCGATCCAGTGGTAGATTCTGCGAAGTACTGTCTTGCTAGGGCCAATGTTAGCAATACTTCCGGTTTGAGCCCCGAAAGCTCACCTACGCGCTAGGGTAACGCTGATAAAGCCTCTCAAGGCTATCAGCATAGGTAGAAAAAAAAAGAGAATTTGACCTCATGTCTAAAAGTGTTGATGGCCCACATACTTAATGGCCTAAGATAAAATATACTAAAAACTACTAAAAAACTAGATGGGTTTACATTTATGCAACAGGAAAAAAAATATATAATATCCATCTTGCGTAGCTTTCACGATTACAAATTGTAACACTTAAAAAAACCTTATATCTTAATTACAAATCGTAGGTTCAAATGTCAATCAGCTAGATGTACGCGAAAGGCGCGAAGTGGCCTGTACAAACAGGGGGTGCAATGAAGCCGCGGCGGCACCTGTGAGTGATGTTTGCGCCCCCACTTACACCGTGGGCCACAATCACCTCCGCAAACCGACGGGATGTTTGTTCGCACCGGAGCTAGGGAGCCGCCTGGGGTAGGCGAGGAAATCTTAATCTGACGGAGCTTTGAACTTTCATTCGTGGACCGTTTCAATGGAATTTAATGCTTTTTTTTTCTACCTAAGCTGATTGTCTAGAGAGACCATCTCAGCGTCACCGGGCTAGTAGGTGAGCTCGCGGGGCTCAAACCTGAGGATGTTGCTAAGAAGATCCGGCGAGAAACTCATTGGGCTGTGTCTGTAGGTTCATTTACTCGCCGAGCCCTTCGTCACAAGCGACGGGTTCGAAGAGAACGATGACGGGTGCTTGGGGTTAATTTTATGGTATAGCTAGCTGCTTGGGATTATCGGAAGCTTTAAATCAAAGTTGCTTTAGAAAATAATGAGCACGAGACCAGGACAGGATATTCTTTTTTATAGAAAATTTTGTATTTTTTTAATAAAATTCTATTTTACCATAAACAGAAATGCCACAAAATAAATGCAATTTTTTGTCAAATTTAATGTTTAAACAAATTTTACCCGTAAAATGATTTGTTTACGATATTTTACATTGCTTTGCTTATCAATATCTAAAAGTAAAGACAAAACAATTGGGGTTTTTTTAATCTTTGTTTGTAAGCCGATTTCCTGTCGATTAATTATTAAATAACTATTGGGATACAGTTACGCAGGTATTTTTTCAATTTTACAAGACGTCGGTGACAAAAGAGAAAAAGCTTTTGTAGAGAAATGAGCACATGCCCGACCCGGTGGTGAGCAGTCGTCACTCATCAGCAGCAGCATAGATCAGCAATATCAGGGGCATAACCAAGCCACTGCCCATTTAAAATCGTATCGGTTTTATTGCTAGAAAGAAACTTTTTAAATTATCCACCATATTTCACTTTTGGAACATTTAGCCGTACAAGTTCAATATTAGAAGATTTGTATTGTATTGGAGTTTCTTGATATTCACCGTAAGACAAAAGAAATGCAGCAAAGGTAAAATATGTTTAATTAGGGATGAAATACGCACATATATCCATTACCGGTTTTCTGTAAGAGATCGCTTTTAGGTAATTTTTATGATTTTTTTTTAAATTTTTTTATTGCTTAGATAGGTGGACGAGCTCAGAGCCCTCCTTGTGTTAAGTGGTTACTGGAGCCCATATAACTTACTAACACCGCTCATACTGTGTATTTTGTTTGATTATTAATAAATTGACCATTTGAAAAAAAGTATATGTAAAAATTAAAATTAGCCGTCAGACCAAATTTAATACAAAACACCAATTAACAACAACCGAATAGCTTACATTAGCTACTATCGTTATCTAAGAGTTGGGGGAGTCCTCAGCTGACAGACCTCCATCCCATGTACCCTCGTAGATAAGGCTCCTACAGTACAAGTGTTTACATAAGCAGACTTATCGCTGCCTCATGCGGAAATAAATCGGTACGCAGGAAGGGAACTAGATAAGTTTTTTAGGCATAATGCGTCGATGGTAACTAAGATTCTGAGGCGTCAGTTTTCTAAGTGAAACTTTAGAGCAGGGGTCGGCAACCTGTTTGTCCTTAAGGGCGCAATACTAAATTTGAAAATCACCGAGGGCGCATATTTTACAGATAATCAACAGGTATAAATAGGCATTAAAAAAATCAGATTTTTTATAACTTTATTTTGTTGGTGTCACACATAACGATACATATAATTCAGTGTGAAACTTGGGTGTTCATATTTTCAGCTAATTTATTATAATTGGGGATATATATATATATATATATATATATATATATATATATATATATATATATATATATATATAGTTCCCGGTCCTTAAGCAATTATCTAAATGTGAGTCATTACTTGGTAGTTTTAAATGGACGGTCTACGCGTGGTCTATTCGAAATACGGTCACACACTAACAAAAAATACATGCGTGTTATTAGATACGCTCAAGGTTAGCAAACTGCTAATCTAGGCACAATCCTAAACTCAACTGACNTCTCTTCAGAATTCTTTAGGCAGTGTC